GTTTTGACGCAAAGGTCACATGAATACGTCGACAAACTTGAGTGGACTCAAAGAGATAGCTTTGTCTGTCTAAATGATGACGCCGCCTCTCCCTCTCTAGTGTGCTGTAATTTAAAGCAGTTGGCTTGAAAGGGATGTAATGGGGGTTGCAGGCCTGCAGTACAACAGCCTCTTGCTCTTAGTGGTTTGATTACATGGTCGTAAAGCAGTTAATCAACAGTGCTGTACAGGGTCATTATGACCCGAGAAGATAATGGTCAGTCTAGAAAGCCGTTAATAAGCGTTTTTTTTTTTTTGTAATCTGGATTGACTCTTTAAAGCTGCAGATTAACTGATTCTTTTTTCTATTTGGAATTGACACAACAAGCTGTAAACACAACTTCATTTTCATTCATCTGTGTAGGTGTGAACATAGTAATATTTGGACTGAAGTTACTCAGAAAAGGATGATTCAACCTTTTGGAGGTTTTGAGTGAGATGAGAAGATCTATATCAATCTCAGGTCTGTGAGTGGTTAGCATAGCTTAGCATAAAGACTGGAAGCAGGGGGAAACTGCTAGCCTGGCTCTGTCTAAAGTGAAAAATACAACTACCACGACCTATAAGCTCACTATTTAACGCTTCCAGACTCAAACAGAAATGTAACAACAACGTTTGGTTTTAGGGGGAGCTAGAAGTAGTTACAAATCCCCCCTCTGATAACATTTCTACAGTTTTGTTGCGCACAATTAAACAAACGAGACACAACATGTGAGCTAGTGAACTGTAGCAGTAGGAGAAAACAGCCATCAGTCTTTATGCTAAGCTAAGCTAATTGCCTCTTGACCGCAGACCCCTACTTAAGGCACAGACATTAGAGTTGTATCAGTCCTCTCATCTAACTGCGTGTCTGCACAGGAGGCATTCCAGACACGTTTTTCAGTCGTCCATCTCTCACATGTTTGACTGAACAGATACGCTTCCATTTGAATCAGTCCATTGGTTCCAGTCTTGACAAAGACCAGCTAAAGGTACACTTTTTGTTCTAGATCTCAATACTGTCACTAAATGACCACATTTCCTCCCAGCTCTCTGTTGATTATTTCAAACTTAACCTTGCACAATGCGCTACAGTGACCTGGGAGGAAAGCTCTGGGATCAGGAGACAGTACTGGGATCTGTAACAAATCAGGGAGTGTATTGTAATTATGTATTTCCTGCAGTTTTAAGCTTAAAACACAACCAAATGTTAATCATGGCTTTGTTTTATATATATATATATATATATATATATATATATCCATAAATATATTTGGCCATGCACTTACAGTACAGTTAACAACTGAATTCCTGTGTTGCAAGGTCATGTGTATCTCACTCATGTCTTTATCCCTCTTCTACAATGTGCACCTGTGCTAAGCAGGCATCACGTCATTTCTAATACCACTGATTTGCCCTACGTCATCACCTGCTGTGCAAGGCTTTGACCAGGTCAACGGCACCTGTCATCACATGGCCAATCAAACATACTGTTGGAAGCTGCACACTGTCATCTGAAGGCATTTAAAAGAACAAAGCAGATTCTGGCCCAATCGTGGGGACCTGAATTATGTGAGCATGTGTGGACAGTATGGTGGACAGACATCAGCAGGGGGTCCAAAATGCTCTGTGTCTTTTGCTGAGGCAGGACTTCCAATTGTTTGGCTATTGTTTTCCCCTCCAACTGAGGTTGGATCTCACAGGATATGACTGCCCACGCCGCTGAATATCCCCTCAGACACAAGCGAGGAGACATCAGCTATGAGGGCACATCTGATTGCAATTTATGGACAATTATTATGGTTTCAGAGTGCAGCGGGGAAAAGAGAAAGCTAAAACTTTAAGCACATACAATTATGGAGATCAAACCCTGCAACCATTCTCAGCAATGATGGGCTAATTTTGTTATTTCCCCACATGACTCCAAAAGTGCTCCTTGTAGCTGTTGTGGGGTAATTTAGAATAGAATACATTTCATGTGAACAAAATCAATATATAAACTCCTTCTGTCATAGATAAGTAGTCCAAATTGCGTTTATCCGTGCAGTCTGGCTCAGACATCTTAACACTGTTAGTGCGCTATGTTTTCTGCAATTGTATTAGAGCCGCAATATTTATTTTGAGGCTGGTTTGAGGCTGTGGAGAGTAGGAATTTAACAAGAAACAGATATGTGAGTGGGGAACTGTGAGAGACAGAAAAGGGCTGTGCATGCATAAGGGGGTGTGGACAAAAAAATGCCGGAGGGGATCAACAGTGAAGCTGTGTGTCTGTTTGTGTGTGTGTGTGTGTGTGTGTGTGTGTGTGTGTGTGCGTGTGTGGGACAGCCAGTCAGTCATTCAGTTGGGCTGCTGCTGCCTCACCATGGCTGTTCTCTCTGCAGATGTCCTACGCTGGCATGTGAGTTTTTATTGGTCTTTTTCTGTCTTTGTGTTTATGCTTAACTTTTAAACATACTGTTGAAAAAAGTGGGACAGGTTAGTGTATTTATGTGTTATTTTTGGATATTAGGCTATGACATGTCTGACTCCATGTTGTGACATTTCTAAGACATCTAGACAAACTCCTGTTGCAATAATAATGAAACAAAGATGCTACAACTGCAAGGTTATTCCCTGTCCATGTGTGTTAATCTTGCTCCAAAGTATCTGATACGGTCATGTTTGGGGAGCTTAGGGTGCTGTGTAGCCGGTTATTGGCTTTCACCACATCGGTGAGCGTTCTGTAGATGTTGTTGCTGTGAATGGCCCTGGGCTACATGCCATGTCAGACACACTTCCTGACACTGAGACATAGATTAAAGCAGGAGATAGCGCAGAACATGACACAACTTGGAAGGATGCAGCCATGTTGGGAAATTGATTAATTTTCATTAGCAGTGCAAAACGCGGCTTTGACACCGTGGGTGATTTATTTATGTTAGATCATTCTGATTGTGTTGACTGTTGGAGAAAATTCCGATACAATAATAATAGGAGGATTAATTGCAAACAAATGGTTATATGAATATTGGAAGCGGTGGATAGAGGAAGTATTTATTCATAGAATACAAGTAAAAACCCTGCAATCATCAAATGCGAAATGGCTATGGTGAGTGTTACACTACTATATAATATATTACATTAATATTGCTAATGTCTTCATGTGTAAGTAGCTGCCTCATTTTAACTACTTTATATCCTGTTGGGTAGTTTAATCTATAGCAATGCATCACATTTTAAACTGATCATATAGTTTGTGTGTAAAATTCTAAAATAAATAGTATTTAGTCACTTTAATTGTCAAATGCATGAGTAAATGTATTTAGTTATATTCCACCACTGATTTTCGCTAGTAGTTTTAAGTAACTACTGAGTTTTTTTTCATCAAAATTTAATAGATTGAAGAAGATTTAGAAGTATGAGAAGAATTTCTCTCTTGTGCATACACTGCATTATAATCCCCATAGTTAATATTCACAGGCAATGTGTTAAGCAATCCATTAATGGTTTACATAGATGTTATTTACACTGGGGACGCTGGGGACTTGTCCCCACCACTCTGTGAAAGCACTTGCTAAAAGTTTTCTGAAAATTAGCTTCCAACAAGAAATGTTAAATAACAAATAGAAATTTTATGAGAAAGCTTTACTTGCACAATAGGAAAACATGAAATGCAATGTAAATATAGAAGAAACAGATCTGCCTTGTCCAAAACAAAAGTAACTTATAAGCTAAAAAAACAAGCTACTGATTACCACATTATATTTGATAATATTTTTATAAAAATAATTTTTTTATGTAATTTTTTTAATAGCCTATTCTGAATTGCCACCGGCCACATGAATTTTGTTTCCCTTCATATAAATAAAGACATTTCCACTATAAGTTGGTGCAGAAAATGTCTCTAGAATTCAGGAAATTAAGAGTTTTATGCTCAAAATTTCATCAATGAATATTTCTTCTAAATAGCATTGAAGTATCTTGTTCTTGTTCTCGGGACTCTAAAATTGTGCATTATCGTGTGTTTGGTCACACCCCTAATCTGAACCCTTAAATATCCCCACCACTTTTCAACATGCCCTTGATGGTTTATGACCTGCTTTAAAGTGGGTGTAAGCAGATAAAGAGGCTTTATGAAGTGTGAAGCATCTGTGTTTGTGCATAAACAGTTAATAAGACCTTAATACATCATTATAACACAGTTGTACATGGTATAACAGTTGGTATCATACACAATATGTCTTCATTAGGTTTAAACACATTCATAAACAGTTTTAAACGTGTGTGAATGATTTGCACATGTGTATAAACCTTTTTTCGCATTATAAAATGTGTTACTAAAATATTGTTATTTAACCTTTTGTGATGTAAAATATCTTGAATATGTATAACTTTATTTAGCCAGGATTTGGCCACACTGAAAAAACGTAAAATCTTTGATATAGGAGCGGTCAGGAAAGCAGCGCCACTTCGAACATAGACACACATTACAAAATATATAACACAGGCTGGTGAAAAATGAATTAGATTAAATGGCAATCATTTCAACTACACTGTATATTCGGCCCTTGATGCTGCATGGGAAAAGCATTGCTGACTTCCAGCCAGGACTGTAAAACCAAGAGAAAGCAAAAACACAACACAAGTTCCTAGAATGTCATGAAAACGGCCTCGATGCGTTTTCGTCCGGCTGACCGGACATAGCAGACCCAGCCCTGGGTCAGAATACAGATAATGATGGTGACTACAGACATTCTTGCTCTAAATTGCTACCTGAGGAAAAAGCCAGAGGCTGCCAAATCCCCAGAGAAAGCACTGTGTATGAAGCGGCCTCACCACACACAAGTGCTGCCCTGAAATAGCAAACGATCTGTGGAGGGGACGCCCCATTTGTTCGGCTCAACTTCAGATATCCTGGTTCACATTTTATATGTTTGTGAAAGCAGACTGTTGTTCTTTGAGTCGTCTCAGTGAAATCAGTTTCCACTTTTTTCTCTCTTTAGGCCCGCATTGAGGAGCTGGAGGAGGAGCTGGAAGCAGAGCGGGCCATGAGAGCCAAGGTATGCTACACAGCTATAAGGCACTGTTTAACATCTCCCCTCTCTCCGTAAATGAAACAAAGAGCAGATGAGCCTTAAATCTGTCCGTCAGCGCAGAGAAAAAGATGCCAAGCAGCTCTGGGATGAGCTTGGCTCTGCTGTAACGTTCAGGACTGTGGTGTTGAGAGCTGTTTGTGGATTGGAGGGAACATTAAAAGAGAGAAGGAAAAAGAACAAAGATTGCTGATCTGTTGGCAGACGGTGGGGTACGTGTGCGCCCCTGGTCACTCCAAACTATCTGCACCTGTGATAATAAACTCAGGGGGGAAGGACCTTGTGTTTCTGATTAACATATAGGGTAACCCCAGGAGCGTAAAGGGACCCCAACATCGTTTTTCTTCTTTCTTATTTTTTCCAATCTTTCTCTGTCTCTTTCACACACACACGCACTCACATCAGTGCACCTTCTGTTTCTTGTAATCCCCTTGCCTTTCTCCTAGAAGCAAATCGGAAGAACAGGACATTTTTTCCACCTTCCTTTTCACCACAGTAAAGTTTCCAAGACATCCTCTTTGTAATGTAAAATGTTTCAACACAGCATGCCTGGTTCATGTAAAGATGATCTTCCAAGGTGGGGGCTTTAAGTGCTTGTTGTTTCAAACAAGACGCTCTTAAAGAGTGTGTGTATTTAAGCCACAGGACCTGGTTGCCCCTCTTAAGACCGAACTGCAGTTTTCATGTTAAAGTAGGTAAAGGCAGAAATGCAAAGGTACATATTTCATCCCGAGTGTTGAATAGAGTGACAGCGGGCCCGAGGGCTTGTTTTGCACACTTCTCCCCACTCTGGGTGGTATTCCTAATGGCGCTTGCAGGGGATCTCCCCACCACCACCAGTCTCTAAAGCCACAGAGGGGTGAAAGAGGCAGGCAGAGACATGCAGGTCTTTATCTGTTCCACAGCCTGCGTCTTCAGGGGAGCTCAAATACAACATACCTCTGCTGCAGACAGGCTCGCTATTGTTAGACGTTGTTAGACTCTGCTGCTCAGGTCGCAAAGGGGAGATCTCATCAGGAGATAGTGGCTGATGGACAGCTCTACTTTCAACGGGCTCTTCTCCCAACTGGAATGCCAACCATTCTCTCTCTCTCTCTGTATATCTCACACACACACACCAATACAGTGGACTGTTCACACTCACTCAGAAACATCCACACACACTGTGAAAAGCTAGTAGGATGTAATCTTTAAGATAAACACAGACATGATAATTATTAGTCGATAAGCTGACATTCTTAAGAAAGATGAACTTTAAAGTTGCACTAATTCATGCTTTTGGATGAACAATGGGTCAAATGGATATGTGTATGCGACAGGACTCGCTAGTTGTATCAAACCCACAGAAAATGATCACCTAACTCTGCAGTTCCCCACAGCTCTACTGAGCTTTTTAGCTTAAGCAACATTTGCTGAGTCATGTTTCTGGTGACCCGGTGAATGGAATTCTGGATGGAAATGGAAAGAAAAGTTGCAGGCTGTAAAACCAGAAATTAAGACCAGGGAGAAGCTAATGCACTCCTTGGCCATTTGACCAAGTGTGCAGCTTTAACAGTTCAGAATAAATCACCACAGAATGAAATGTTGGTGCAAATTAATCAAAAAACGTGCGGGTTCTTGTTTGCATGACTGAGATACCTTCGTACACTGACTCAGTTGAATGCAATTTTGTTTGTGGTGCTCACAAAACACATTACAAAATTAAATAGAGACAACGTCCTACTTACACTGCAAACTGTGAGCAGTTGAGAAACCAACATGACCTTATACTTAAACAACAAATAGTCAGTTGTCCCAAAACTACATACAAGACCGTTCCCCCAAAACGACACGTATGAACGTTGGCAGTCCATCGACAGGCGTGCAGAGCCTTAAGTACATCACACAAGTCACGTGACATTTAACACGTGGTAAATGTTGTGAAAAGGTCGTAGTATAGTTGCGTTTGGGCAACAAAACCACTTGGTTAGGTTTAGGTTAAAATAAGTACATTATGTAAGTCTTGTACAAAACGTTATTTAACATAAACATGTCAACTTTGACTTTCTTTCACAGGAGACTCAAACCTCGTTCACCTCTGTGAAAGTCTGAGTTTGCTTGACTCATCCATCCACCCCCACCACCCTACATATGCAGACTTTGGCGCACTTTATACTATGTCACCTGACTTCTTCTGCCCCTAGAGGTCACAGCCTAACTAAAAACTTAAATATGGGTCGTAAAAAGCTATATAATAATCAGCCTATACAGCTGGTTTTTTATGGTGAGGACAGGCTGGACAATCTATCTGCATGACTAGATCCACCCCACCTTTCTCCTGTTGAGGTTAGCCTAAAGCTTTTACAAAGCATAAAAAGTTTCTGTTTTTTCTTACTGACAGCGGTTTGCTTGAGAACTTGCCAGCACTTACACAGTATTTTTTTTCTGTACATATTTTGATAATTTAGGAAAAGACTAATATATAATGCTACTGACAGACAGGTCTGTAATTAAGAGTTCATTTTACTACCTGGGTCTTATTTGTTTGTTTATTATTTGTAAGCCATTATTTTTATTACCAGTTATGGGGACATATTACTTAACAGGTTGACTTTTAAGATATGGCATCATGGGAAATCTAAATGATCTAAACCACTTATTTGGAGGTGAGGGAACAAAGAACATTGAAGTCACACAAACTGAGCTGCAATTACACAGAACTGTTTGTTGTACACCACCATTAGATTTAGATGTTAGGATAAGCTTTGATCTACTGCACTATGCACTGTACTGTTTGTACATGCAGCTTATGTACACCTTCACATTCATTTCAGGGTAGGATACCTCACCCCACCTTATTAAAGGTAAATAAACCTGGGCGATAGCACAGACTAAATTCTGTTTTCATGTAGCTGTGGTCAGGTTAGAGCCTCCATCCTGGAGGTCGAGGACATGGATGGATGGATACTAGAGAACACGTATGCAAACATACATTGGCATGTATGCACAGACTGAACAGAGACACACTCCTACTCCTTCACGCTCTTGTGCAAACAAAGGTGTTCTTCAGCAGGAGCCTTTGGGAGCACTGACCCTCATCATGTGAATGGGAGTGAGTGGTGCTGGGTGGTGCTGATCCGGAGGAGCTGTTGACTCAGTCAGTTGTGCGGAGGAGAGCAACGAGCAAGCCGGGGTTAACTCATTTTACGCAGAGCCAGGTTGTAGACATAGAGGGTGGGCCTGGGAGGTGGGGGGGGTGAGCTGGTGGGCTGCAGGTTTTAGAGACTGAGCTCTCCAAAAAGGGGTGTGGGGGGTGAAAGAGGAGGCCCCCAGTGAGTATCATCTGTTTTCCCTTGTTCTGCCTGAGGTGTGTTGACGACTGTGGCTCATTGCTGCTATCAGGGAGGCCTGAGACTCCAGCTTTTACAGACCAGTCTCAACATCTACGGCTGTCGTTAAAGCAGCTGTAAAAGATCGGCGTAAAAAAACAAGAACTTTTAACTACAGAGCGCTGGCTGTTTGTGCGCGTGATGGCCCAGCATTATAAACTCTCTCCATGTGTGCTGTGCCATGTTTGAGCATGAGAAGGCCCTCTCTGACAACCTTGCTGAGGAATTTATCAGTCATACATTTCTGAAGCGTTATATATTTTATTTGTTTTCTAAGCAACACAATGTATTTTGTATTTCTTTTGATGTAAAGTCTCAGGTTTTATTATTCTGTATTATACTGCATATTAAATTTTATTGCACTGGTGGAGCCAGCGGAGAGGGATCCAGATATACAGTATATGCTGAATCTTGAAGTTGATGATATTTAATGATTATTTCATTTTATTGCAAATAAAACAGATTTATGTTCATGATATTAAAGCTTTGATGACATTGTTATATTTGAGCCACTCAAAGTTTGGGGCTTTAGTGTTATACTGGCAATTAATATGTAAAAACATAAAGCACATATTTAACATTTTCATACCTCTCCCGTTGGAAGTTAAAGTTGCACTAAGCAATATTTTTATATTAACAGGGTTTCAAATGACAATGTGTAATGTGAAAAGGGTCTAATGTAATGACAAACACACAGAGAATTATCAGACTCTGCAGTTAACCCTCAGTTATACCGAGCTTTGTAGCATCTATCAGCCAATTGTTTTTGTCTTACGGCACGCAGCTCATGTTTGGTTCATTGTCGCCCCTCTGATCAACATTGTTTGCAGCGGGAGCAGCCAGATGTCCGCAAGAAAGTGTTGATAAACCCACTGTACACTGCCTGCACAGCACCAGAAAGATAGACAAAGTTAGCAACTAGCTGGTGAAGCAAGTGGAGCATTTAGCAACTAAAGAGCCAAAGATTTTTCTCAGGAGCCAAAGGGAGAGTGCGTTACACTTACCTTAACACTAGTGAACGTTAGTGTTGCTCCATGTTTGCTAGATATGTAAACAGACAATAGTTTGCTAACAATTTAGCTACGTTAGTAACTTTGGACTTTTATTCCTCAGGGGGCCAAAATAGTAGCTTAGTATTATAGCTTTATAAGGTGGTATTAAGTCAATGTGGTGCATGTTTAGCGGCCCCTAAGTAGCCAAAAATCAATTATTGCAGCTTTAAGGGCAATTAACAGCTTGCTGAATCCTCTATGTTAACAGATCAAAATCTAGCATCAACAAACACAAGACTAAAAGTAGCATGGCTTAACTTTGTAGGATGTTTATCAGGGATCAGAGGATGGGATAACTTACAAGGAAACAGCAGTTCACGTAATATTGTGACTGTATGACAGCAGCTAACCCGCTGTATCGCTCTGATTAGATATCAGCTACTCTCCTGTCTTCTGACCTCAGGAAAGATCACTTCCCTTTGTGCGCTGTCAATCACACTGACCTCCTGGTGTTTAAATATCCTGTCCTAGGAGGTGGGACTACTTCAGGGACAGAATATGTGAAGTCTGCTGCCCCAAGTTAAATACAGTGTGTTCAGAAATTCTGAATGTTTAGATGCGGACATTTACACACTTCTCACTAAAGGACTTACTTATTACTACATTATTACTTATTACTCTCTAGTGGAGATGGAACATTTATGTGACTCGAGATAGGATCCGCCCGCTCATGGATCAGTTATCTATTAAATAATTCTGATAATTTAGTATCAACTTGTACACGTAGTGTTTATTACCCTTCTTGAACTGCGTTTTTTTTGGGCAGGTTGAGAAGCAGAGGGCGGATCTAACCAGAGAGCTGGATGATCTCACCGACCGACTGGAGGAAGCAGGAGGCGTCACTGCCTCACAGGTAAACTAAATACATTCTACCACACATACACACACACTTTTTACTATCACATTTTTTAAGGCTGCACGAGATTAAGGTTTCATACATAAAGTTAGATGAGAAGATTTGTACCACTCTCAGCTTAGCTTAAAGACTTGAAAAGGGGGAAACAGCTGGCCTGGCTCTGTCCAAAGGTAACAAAATTAACCTACCAGCACCCCTAAAACTCACTAATTAACATGTACTGTATCTTTTTTGTATAATCCGTACAAAACTGAAATGTAAAAATCTACAATTTGGGGTTTTGCAGGGGGTACATGCTAGAACTATTTCTAGGCATTTTGGCATTCTGATGTAAAGAAACTGAGGACATGTCTCCAAAAACATTAGGACATATGTAGTACATAAAACAAAAATCCTACAGGTGCCTTAGGACATAAGTGGCACCATCACAATCTGCAGTCTAAAATGCATATTTTACATACAGATGGAGGTGAACAAGAAGCGAGAGGCTGAGCTGCTGCGTCTGAGGCGAGACCTGGAGGAGTCCTCTGTCCAGTCAGAAGCGCTGGCTGCATCTCTGAGGAAACGGCACAGTGACGCCATGGCAGAGCTGAGCGAGCAGTGTGAAGCCCTGCAGCGGGTCAGGGCCAAACTGGAGAAGGAGAAGCAGATCCTGAGGATGGAGGCGGACGAGCTGGCCGCGTCTCTGGACAGTCTGCAGAAAGCCAAGGTCAGGAAGTTAGGTCACATGTACTGAGGCTTAGATTGACCTGCTTTTACTGTCCCAGTGTTTCATTTTCAACAAGCCAGTAATGTCAAGCCTATATGACTTGGGAGTGTAACAGAATGTGTGCTGGTGTGTTCGCGCTGTGCTGCAGACGTCCTCAGAAAGCCAGATGAAGAAGCTGGAGGAGCAGCTGTCAGAAGCCAACAGGAGAGGAGACGACCTGCAGAGAGCCCTGACTGAGCTCAGTGTGGCCAAGAACAGACTCACAGGCATGTGTGCACCTGTTAGATGAATATTCTTCATCTTTGTCATGTGGGCACCAACTAATAAGACCCAAATGCAGACAATTGAGCAGACAGGTTCAAGGATCAAGGATTTACAGTTCAATGATATAATGACAGAATTTTATAGAACCATCAGGCAGGCAAGGGTCAAAACCAAGAAGGCAGTCCTTACAGGCAAACATATGCTGCTTGGCGTACCTATAATACCATTGGCAACATATTTCTACATCAGTTTACACGCAGAACAGGTTTTATTATATCATAATATGTATGTATACCACAAATACACTTTATGTTGCCTTTCAGTTTGTGGTGTACCATTCACAATGTGTGCTTCCACTGGGGCTGCCATTGTTGTGTGACGCCATTTAGCTGCTTCAGTGGCGTGTCCATGGTGCTTTTTGTAGCTTGAGGTCGGAAATTTCAAGTTGCCCGGAACCCAGCGTTATCTACAGGATTAGGTGATGAATCAGTCCATGGATCAGGCAGGAAGACAGGGAGAGATAACAGGGTATCTGAGGCTCAAAACCTACAGTTTCAAACCCAATGTGCCTGGTTTATAAATGGAGGCTTCCCAATTAACATTTCTAGTCTCCTAACTGAATCCACGATTACTCAAGTAGTGTCCCTTTAACAGTTTTCTCAGCTCTTCCAGAACACATTACACAGCTGTTTTCGCTGGCTGAGCAGTGTTCGTCATGACTGGTAAATTGGCATTCACATATAAAGTCAGTGGACAGAATAACATGACTTTTACTTGTTTCCAATGGGGAAGAAACTTACTTTATTTATTCACCACAGAGCAGTGCAACAGATACAGATATGACTATTTTATACTATATATCTTTCCTCAGTTAGACATGACATCATCCACATCTGCTGTGGCAAACAGATAATTACGATTACAAAAAAAATCACATTGTATGCTTGTTTTTTTTGGTGTTTTGCCACAGAATGTTGAGTGTGCTTAACACCTACTGTATGCTACAGTGTGATAATCAGTGTTCTTGTGCGTCCTGTCAGCTGATAACGCAGATGTGGGTCGGCAGATGGAGGAGGCAGAGAGCAGAGCCAGCCAGCTGAGCCGCTCCAAGACTCTGCTCCAATCCCAACTGGAAGAACTGAAGAAACAACTGGACGAGGAGGTCAAGGTCAGTGTCTGTGTGTGTGTTTTGAACTCGGAAAGTATGAAAAGTAAAATATCCAGTATGCAAATAAGAGAAATGTGTGCCTCTGTGGTGTTGCTGCCAGTGTAAGCAGGCGGTTAGCAGCAGCCTGAGCTCAGTGCGGCATGAGTGCGAGGTGCTGAAGGAGCAGCTGGAGGAGGAGCAGGAGAGCAAGCTGGAGCTGCAGCGTCTCGTCTCCAAACTCAACAGCGAGGTGACGCACTGGAGGACCAAACAGGAGTCCGACGCCATCCAGCACGCCGACGAGCTGGAGGACACCAAGTGCGTTGTGTTGATGCAGGCAGTCAACGTTCACATTTCACACTTTGAATGCATCTCAGTGGTCCAACTAACATGTGTGTCACAGGAAGAAGCTGGCAACCAGGCTTCAGGAGGCCGAGGAGGCCGTGGAAGCCACCCAAGCTAAATGTTCTTCACTGGAGAAAACCAAACAGAGGTTGCAGGGGGAGGTCGAGGAGCTCTGTGTGGACCTGGAGAAGGTATAGCAAGGGACACGTTGTATGAGTGCAGCGCCGTGAACTTCTCTGTTGTTATCGTTGAGCATATGTTTCCTGTCCCAGGCCAGCAGCTGCGGTCAGGCTCTGGATAAGAAGCAGCGGATCCTGGAGAAGCAGCTCGGAGACTGGAGGCAGAAGTGTGAGGAGCTGGTGGCCGAGGTGGAAGGATGCCAGAAGGAGAGCAGGCAACACGCAAGCGAGCTCTTCAAGCTCAAGACAGCACATGAGGAGTCTCTAGAGCAGCTGGAGGTCCTACGCAGGGAGAACAAGGCCTACCAGGGTATCACAATACACACATGAGGGACAGGGCGGATGCTTCTTGCAGATTTTTAGAAATAGTTTGACATTTTGGGAAATGTACTTTTGTTTTCTTGCTTAGAGTAAGATGAACTTTCGGGTCTGTTTGGTGCGTTCCATTTAGCCCGGAAGTCGGAGGTTGGAGCTGGTGAACGACTTCACACCCAAGTTGACTGTGTTCCAGTACAACAACCGATTTAAGTCGGAAAACCAAGATTGATGCCTCTGGCCATTTTAGCAATACCAGCTGATAGCAACGCATTATGCGGTATTTTGCAAGTACAGCATAATCACCGTAGCAACATGTGTACTGATATAAGTTGGACAGCACTGTGTGTACGACTGGTTTAATGAGACACAAATAAGACAGAAGTGTGAAAAACATTACACTACTACGGCTTTCACTACTGTTGATTCTGGGAGCAGCCATTTTGAGGTCGGGGTTGGCGAGGTTCTCCTGACTTTCTGAGTTGGAAATCCAACTTAAGGGGCTTTCCATTGAAATTTCCGACTGGGAAATCGGAAATTCCAACTTGCCGTGTCAAATGGAACGCACCATAAGTACAAAAGTGGAGCCAGGAGGCTATAAGCTTAACTAAGCTTAGCATAAATAGTGGAAGCAGGGGGTAACAGCTATCCTGACTCTGTCCAAAGATTAAAATGACTACCAACACCCTCTGAAGCTTACAAATGATCACATTGTGGAAGACATAAAGGACAGGTGTGTGGGCGAATAAAGAACTTGTTCAGAAATAGTTGCAGCATGCAACTGAACAAGTGTTGTTTTTACATTTCTGTTTGTGTTCTGAGTAAAAAACAAGTGAAATGTTCAAATTGGTGAATTTTAGAGGCGTTGGCAGGTGTGTTTTTGAACTTCAAACAGAGCCATGCTAGCTGTTCCCCAGGTCTAGAATACTTAACACACAGACATAAGAGCAGTATAAATCATCTCATGTCGCTTTCAGCACCAAAAACAAGTTGAACTATTTCCTAAAATGTCAAACTGTTTCACTTTTAAGAGACTCATAGTAGCTAAATGTCACCATGGTGCGATTAGTCTTGAATGTGGCTTTTCTCTGTCTGACAGAGGAGATAACTGACCTTACAGACCAGCTCTCAGATGGAGGTAAAAGTGTCCATGAGCTCCAGAAAGCAAAGAAGAAGACTGAGATGGAGAAAGAAGAGTTACAGGCCTCACTGGAAGAGTCTGAGGCGGCTTTGGAGGTACATAGCTTCAGCAAATCTGCCATCTGTACACATCATCATGTACATCTCTACACAAATGCCCCTTTTCTTTCATTCTACCTTCCTTTCTTCCTTCCAGGTTGAGGAGACCAAGGTGCTGAGGCTGCAGTTGGAGTTGTCTCAGGCTAAAGGAGACCTGGAACGCAGACTTCAGGAGAAGGAGGAAGAGATAGAAGCAGCTAGGTACCTAAACCTCCTCTCAATCCTTCATTTTCCTCATACCTGACATATCATCCACCACCACCCAGCACCGCATCTCTTTCCAAAGCTGCACAGACTATATACATTTATACATATAACTTTAAACTTAATTCTGACAAGACAGACGTGCTGATCATCTGCCCTGAACTGCTACAAGATGTGTGTTGTTTTTGACCATGGCTTTAGTCTGGTGCATCTTAAGTCCAGTCATGTTTTTATTTATTTATTATTATATGCCTTTGTATACTGGATTAATGTAATGCCTTATGTACTTGCCCTTATGGTCGAGCTATGGAACAGCTTCAGATTATACATAATTTACAGACCAGACAAAAGCAAATATCCCATTCTTCGCTGCAATGGCTGCAATGGCTGCAATGGCTGCAATTATCTTTTAGGATTCATTTTAAATAACTATTAATCATATCCAGGGCCTTGTGTGGTCTGTTACCAGACTATATAATTAATCTTCTAATCACTTTTTGTCCTAACAATCTTCAGTCTATTAACTGCTGATGTTACCATGTTAAAAAGGATAGTTGACATCTTGGGAAATGCGTTCATTCACTCTCTTGCCAAGTTAGATGAGAAGATGGATCCCACTCTCATATTTATCCATTCAACATGAATCTACAGGCAGCAGCAGGTTATCTTAGCTCAGCATACAGACGGAAACAGGGCAAGACAGCTAGCCTGGCAACAAAAGCCAAACACCTCTAAAACTCTAAAGCACTAATTAACAAACTTATGTCCAAGCCAAAACTTGCATGGGACTATTTCAGCATCCTGCCCAGATTAAACAAATTAGATATTACATATTAGGGAGCTTTAGAGGCGCAGGTAGGCAGATTGTGTTACTTTATTTTGTAAGTTGTTTCCTGTCTCTATGCTAAGCTAAGATAATCAGCTGTTGGCTGTAACCTTATACTTACCAGACAGAACTTTGAGTGCTATTAATCTAACTCTCAGCTGAACTAAATGCTGAGCTATTCCTTCAACACCAGAATGGGGTTCATAAGAACAAATGTGTATTCATTTGACTATAAGATGGCCTTGGTACAATTGTTCACAACTTTAAACCACCTGTTCCTGTTTTACTGCTGCTTCCGCCCTGTTATTGTCTTATTTTCCTAACTGTGTGGTGTGCTTGGAAAGTGCTCTACAAATCAATAATAATAATTATTACCTACAACAATATTCTCTAACTTTTCCTCCTGTCCTTTATGTCTGTCTATTCCTTCAACAAAGTCAGAGTCTTTAGAGGTAAGGCCTGTCTCATTGAACTCTTCTTCTCTTCAAACCCTGCTTTACTGTCTCTGCAGCGATACAGCGCGCACAGTTCATCTTTGTAATACTTTGTTTTTTTCCCCCAATCCCTCTCTGTCCTCCTCTGTCAGAAAAAGCCACCAGAGGGCGCTGGAGTCCCTGCAAGCCAGTCTGGATGTGGAGGTGAAAGGCAAAGCCGAGGGACTGAAGCTGAAGAAGAAACTGGAGGCTGACGTGAATGAGCTGGAGCTGCAGGTGGACCTGCTCACCAAGAACAATGCAGAGCTCAGCAAGAACAGCAAGAAGATGCAGCAACAGATTAAGGTCTGATGATAAGTTACAGAAAGCTTTTAACAGCAGGGGTTTGAAATGGTCTGCTCTCCCAGGAGACTTACTTACATGATGACTGTCTCCTGTCCCAGGACCTGCAGGCTCAGTTGGAGGAGGAGGTGCGGAGCCACGAGGAGCGCAGGGAGGAGCAGGCGGCCATGGAACGACGCTGCGCTCTATTGGTCAGCGACGGGCAGGAGACTCGAGCAGCTCTGGAGAGCGCAGAGAGGGCCCGCAAGGCCCTGGAGACTGAGCTGCATGAGACCAATGAGAAATACAGCGACCTCAACAACCAGGTGACACAGAGCATGTGCATTGCTTTGGGGTCGTGCAGAGGTGATAGCTACCAGTCAAACGTAGACTGATGGCTTTCTCAATGTGTCCTCTTTTGTGTTCAGTGCCAGTCGGCTCTGAGCGGCAGGAGGAAGCTTGAGGTGGATCTCCAGACTCTGCAGCAGGAGCACGAGGAGCTGCAAGGAGAGCTGAGGGGACTCACAGACAAGGCCAAGAAGGCCGGCTGTGAGGTAAAAGACATCATAGAAGGATGGAGATTTAACACATGTTCAGTTATTTAAAATATTTGTTTTCTAAATGGACGGTCTAATTCTTTCAGTTGGCGAGAGTCGGGGAGGAGCTGCGTCTGGAGCAGGAGCACACACTCCACCTGGAGAGAGTGAAGAAAGGGCTGGAGGCGCAGATCAAAGACATGAGCAGCAGGCTGGATGAGGCCGAGCAGATGGCTCTGAAAGGAGGCAAGAAGATCATCCAGAAGTTGGAGGGAAAGGTACGGAGTCACAGAGATGTCAGTCGGTCAGTTTAGTTTTAGGTCCAGAACAAGACATTTTTACCTCTACTGGTCTGATTGCCATGACTCCTGGCATGAATCTGCATGATGTTTTTGACCCATCTGACCTTTATGAGGCCTTGTGCACAGTAATATCAAAATGTTGACATAGGAACTGAATGTTAGCTGTGTACTCTACTTCAAAACAGTTACTTAAATATATAGTAAGGGTGACACGATGTATTGATCATTTAGAAGTGGTTTTATGTGAACATGCAAGGTTATTAATGTTATTTATTTTGTGGAAACAGAGTATGTTGAGCATCAACATTCATTTCAGAGAAAGTTGCTGATTATTTCCCATAGTGCTATTGGACCAGGTTTTACACACAGTTTACTAGTCATGCAGAGAAAGCACTCTCTGGAGGAGCCTGAGAAAATAACCCGGATGTCATCAGCTCGAAGAACAGAAAGTCTGCATTATTTGTCTGGTGCTTTTCTGGAAACACAACGTGTCCTCATGAACAAAAACCCCTCATACACACATTGAGTTACATTTGCTGACCAACCAGAGGTACAGTCATCATTGTCTGTGTGCAGGTGAAGGAGCTGGAGCTGGAGCTGGACTCGGAGCAGAAGCGGCACGCCGAGTCGGTGAAGACGATGCGGAAGAACGAGCGACGGCTGAAGGAGCTGCTCTTTCAGTCAGAGGAGGACCAGAAGAACCAGCAGAGGATGCAGGAGCTGGTGGAGAGGCTGCAGAACAAGATGAAGGCCTACAAGAGACAAGTGGAGGAGGCTGTACGTCACCTCGTCCTCAAAACCTCACATATAGCACACGTCACTTGTCTGCTTTGATCACACACACTCTGTTGTTCCTGCAGGAGGAGCAAGCCAACATGAACTTGGCGAAGTACAGGAAGACCGTCCACGAGCTGGATGACGCTGAGGAGCGAGCTGACATTGCTGAGTCAGCACTCACCAAGATCAGGACCAAGAACAGAGGCAGCTTCGGCAAGGGTTACTCCTCTGTAAGTAACTACTGGCATAATGCTGCAACAGCTTGTTACTAGAAATAAGATGCCATCTGCTTCAGCGTTAGTTGTGATATTGTCTCTGCTTGTTTTTAGTAATCAGAGTTAGAATCTAATTGTAACCTTCAACAGTTCAAAACATAGTTGCCATATAAAATAAGTGACTTTTATTCCTATAATAGTAGGGAAGTATCCTTTATCCTATCCATTGTTCCCTATAAAATTAACAAACTTTAACAATCTATTTAATTTTTACAGGTGTAAATGTGTCAGCACTGTAAACACATCCTATGTACTGGAATATAGAAAAGTCATGCAAACTTAAAAAGTAAATTGGTACATTTTAAATGAAATTATATTATTATATATTAAATTAGTGCTGAACCATATTGATGAAAATGTATTTCCTGCTGAGTGGAATCAAGCTATGCAAGTAAATTCATGTGCATCTCTGAGCCACATGTTTGTATGTATTTTGCTAATCCCCTCATTCACAGACATTTTAGTTTGTCTGCCATGAAAAGTGGAAAACACTTTCATGTCAGGATGATTTTTAATGGCGATGTCTTAACTTTTTAAAATATATTAATGAAAACAGTTCTTTGGTTTCTGAGCAAATACCTGCCACATTAATTATATTCCCATCAGATGTAGTTCAGAATTAGTGCTATTTAGCAAATATGTTAGCAAGCTGATGTTAGCATTTAGTGCAGGCTCACAGAGCAGCTAGCATGAGTGCAGACTGTAGGTAATTATCACATTGTTGATTGGATCTTTGCTAAAGAATGAAACGAAAGTGAAGCATACCTCAAAATGGGTCCATTTGAAATTAAACCACACAGTTTTGGAATCACAAAGCATATTTAAAGGATAGGTTCACAACTTTCATGTCTGATTATGCACCTGACTATTGTTTACAAGACAGACTTGAAAAATTGTGAACCTATCCTTTAAATAAACTGATTTCATTTGGCAAGTGTAATAATTTCCTGTACTACCTTTGAGACATAAGCAGATTGTGTATTGGATGCTTTCTATGTCAGGAAGTGATTATATCTGATTGTTTACTAATGGTTGGTAGTAAACAAATATCATTTTTGCATCTGATCATTCACTGACTTGCAATTTTAAACAATTTTTGTAGTTTTCCCTCAAAAATCAGCTTCAACTGGTCACTTTTGAAAAAGAAAGAAACAAAGACAGATTTTAGCTCCGCAACCGCACGTTTGTGATTGAATTACAAAACTTCACAAAATCCCAGTGGTATTTTTTTTTTTCCTGTGGTTGCTCTGAGTAATGACTCCGAGGTATGTCTGTGCTCCACCAGGGTTACAGCACTCCGTACCCCGGCCTGGTCAGGTCACCCAGCTCTGTGGGCTCAGAGGGCAGAGGGGAGAAGATCCTCAACGACGACAACGAGTCTGTCAGCTCTCTCATCCCAGCATATCTCGACTCCCTCAAGAAGCTCATGATTGACTAGAAACAGAGCTGAGACAGCATCACCCTGGCTCTGAAGTCTTCTGAAGAAGTGCAGCATGGTACAGTTAGAAGTTTGACATCAGAGAGGCTGAAACTGCAGTTTCTCAATACATTCAGGTCATAAATAGACCCTTCTGTGTCACCTGTTTGTGTACATTCCCTCTGAATTTTTCTACAATGTACTCATTCCTTCCTCTGTTTGCTATCACTGTCAGTCCAACACACCCTTATATCCACCTCATTATGTAATATTTGTATGTAAAAACAGTTGAATATCAAAACTGTACTGTAAGTGTTCCAAAATCACGCTTAAAGGTTCCTCTTCATTAAAACCACTAGTTAGAAGCAATTTTTAAGCCATCAAATAATTGTGAAAAGCATTAATGAATCATTAATTTGCAATTGTAAATAACATAATTATTAGATATCATTCATCTATTAGTCATTACAGAAATATTTGAAGCTATCAATCTAAAGTATACTCTATTCACCATTTGTAAATGCATGGTGTACCACATACACTAGTCAATAAATGTTGGTTTTGCTCATATTGTGAAATAATAAAGACAAAAAATAAATAAACAACAATTTTCAATTTAAATATGCCTCATCTACATTAACGTTAAAAAAACAAAATAGAAAAGCTAAACTTGCAGCTAACGCTAGCTAAAACAGAAGGCCTCATCTGTACACTAACATTAGTTAAATGTTTCACAACTGCTACGGACTGGGGAGTAGAGGTAATGTACTAAGTGAGCACCATATTCTGTAACTTTAAAGTACTTCTGCATTTTATAGCATTTTCCATTAAATAGTACAGCAAAACAATGAGGCTAGCAAATGATTTTAGGCAACAAAGCTAGGCTAGCAGGTTAGCCCAGACACCGAGGTTAGCAAGTTAGCTTTTGTTGATTCCTGATGGTGATGCTCTGAAGAAAATCAAAAAGCCCAAACACAACTTTTTACACTAAGCTATAACCTACATTTAAATGTGTTACCAATATTTCTTACCTGCGAGCAAAACATGTGAAAACGTTTAGATGAATACAGTCAGCGGCTATCACATGTAAGTTAACAGTCAAACCGGTTCAAACTGCTGAAGCTTGCTGTGTACATCAATTACATTTGAGAGATCTGTGTGGTGTCCTGTGGTATATCAACAAATTAGATATAAATTACATGAATTGATTTACATGTATGAATGACACGTTCATCATTAACAAATGGCTTATAAATGACATAACCAATCATTATTACAAAGTCTTACCAAGTAAGATATGCAACAAGGTGCCATTAAGATATGGGCTATTATCAATAATAAGAAATAATGTATTTTACTTAAACTATCTGATAAAGTCCAAGTGTATCTCTGTCTGTACTTTTAACCATGTCTACCTGTAACAAGGCTTGGTCAAACCATTTTATTATTGAATGTGGAAATGTGTTTTTTATGAAATAAATTTTTCAATTATTAAATGTTTTCTTCTGCCTTTTTTCAGTTAGTGATTACACAAAAAGGTTACACAGAAAGCAAAAAAAATCCAGAAAGAGCATTTGTTATGATATAAGGTACATATCTTCCTTTTATTAATGAAAAATGCCAACCTTTAGATGTTAATGTACAAAGGCATCTCAGTCCTCTACTCTCAATAGTCAAGTAGTACTAATAATACTGGACAAGACATGGTGGTAAAGAGCAATTTGTACAACATTTAGCTTCTGCAGGCAGGAGCACTGACAGTCAATCCAACTGAAGCGCTTGTATTTCCAAAACAATCGAATATTTAAAAGGGCTGTTATTTCTATTGCATGTAAAACACTTTGTACGTTTCATATATTATCAGTACCAAATTTCTGTATATTGTATGTCTTTGTGTCTATTGTATTTTACATCCTTCACTCTACTTCCTGCTTTCACTGCAGATCACACATCCCAAATATTTACACCAGGCTCCTCGTGAACATGACCACAACCCAGCTTCAGTAATAAAATGTGTAACAGTAAGTTCTCTTCAGAATAATTTTCATATGAACAGCAATTAAAAATCACTTGGTATAAAGTGCAATTGGCTGATTTTTTAAATCCTTATTAGGAATGTAGTAAAACACAGGTGGAAATGAAACTGAGTGCTGAGCTTTAGATTTTATTTTGTCAGAGATGTGAAGAAGTGTGGCCAGATTTCAGATTTTTGTCCTCAGCAATTGACCGTTGGCTAAACCCCAACCCAAACCATGGTGTCAGTTACTGACAATCATGGCTTACCAGCTGTAACTAGGCATTGCAGGCCTGTCAAGCTTTGGATTTCTTAACATAAATGGGGTGTATGGGGGTCTAATATGAGCAATACCATATGTGTAACAACAAGTGTAAAGAATGGAACTGTGTTTTTATCGACTAATGTAGGCTGCCAACATTAGAATGTTATAACCTAAGTGACGCATGCTGTTGAAAATGCTTCTCTGGTAAGCATTTTGTTGCACATTCTTTAATGAATAACACTTTATTTCCATGTCTTCTACTTGGATCATCTGCTGGTGAGTATGCTAACCTTTTTTCTGGGACCTGTTAGCTTTAGCTTCAGTCTTTCAACATCATGTGTGTAGCCACTGTGTGCATATTATAAGACGGTTTTACAGACTCTCAGTTTAAAGCTAATTGGAAACTTTTAAAAGTCAGCTAAAGACAGAGTTTTAGTGTCACCATTAGCTTAGCCTAGCTAATTAAAGCAAATAAAGTCTGCAAGCGACAGTTGTCATTTCAGCCAAGATACTTTTAGTAAACTCATTATGTGACGTGCCAGAACTGTATGCTTGACAGGCATAGCAACAGTAACACAGGGGTGTGGGGTTTTGCAAACAGTCAATACCTACATATTGTGGATTTTAGTACTTAAAATACTATATTATTCTGGTACACAGTAATATAACACTCTTGGGTCAGAATGCATTTTGCTTTGCAGCATCAGTTAAATCATTTTTGCCAACAGCTTGCATTTCTGAAGTCACGTGTGCATCGACACACAAGTGAATCGGAGAATTACCTCACAGCAAAAGCACGTACAGACCGCAGCTTTACACTGCTGCATGACATAAAGCTATTCAACATTTACAGGTTTTAAATGTTCTTTGTTGGTGCTTCTTGATCATTCGCTTTCACCTCTCGTCTCACATTTTACACTCACAGTTCCCGTTTTCCTGTGCCACCGCAGCTTGGCATCAGCTTGCAAACTACAGCCTGTCACTATCTGACATCTTCATTCATCACTAATGCGTCTCACTAATCTCCCCTAATATTGACATCATCCTCCATCAATCAGTCTATTAGGAGTCACATGTAGATCAGTGGAGTGGTAGTGAAGATCCCGGCACAGATTTCATCTCCCAGTCAGTGCTCAGGCATGTGGCCTCTGGGTGAGCGTGTCTGAGTGTGAGCTTGGGGGTAAAAGTGTACATATGCAGCGCCGTCGCGACAGCACCGAGATCAGATCTCTATGTCCACTGGCCTGATCTCTCCAGTCTTATTCTCCCGCACCCACAGCTCTCTGTCTTTGGCCGGGTCCACACACTGCAGGAGCTGGTCCACCGGCTCCATCGTCTGGACAAAGCAAGGACAGCAGTCAGTTGAAGCGTCACAGTGTGCGCTCAAATGTCTTTTGCTTGCCTGGCAAAATACCTAATGTTTACATCGCAGAGGGCTTGTAAAGTCATTCATTTTAAATTTCATTCAATTAGTACTTTATCTGTTTACTTGTGTCTTGGCCTTTTTCTGTACTGCGGTAAAATGAATTTCCGCTTGGTGTCTGCAAAGCCTTGCCTCCCAAATACAGTATGTTTTGTTAGGTCAATTCGTGTACCTAAGAGAAGTGAAATTGTCCATCTCCTTGCAAACCTATGAATAAAGGTTATTCATCAAAATTTCTTTTGACTTAACAATACTCCAGAGGTCTCTTAGCGTGGTTAAGACCAGCCACTTAGGATCCTGGATGCAGTACAGAGACAGAGGCGAGTGCACACATTTAGAGACATGCTTCGGGAATGGCTGTACAGACAACAAGAAACCTGCAACCTGCTTATTCAAAGCAGTCTGTTTATCATCTCCCAGAAAACCACAGTGCATACAGCATAGTAGTTAAGAAGAATTAGAATTTGATTTACGCATTCAGTTATTCAAAAAGCCCTGCCGTCTGTCACTCAACAAAGTTTGAATACTGATTTGAAGCTGTACTTACACTTTGGTTGAACATGTCTGTCTCATGCCGAAGGGTGGTGTACTGACACAGATGCTGTCTGATCATCTCCACCCGCTCCAACTCCAGCCGCTCCAGCTCCTGAGGAGAAAAGCAGTTTGGAATGAGTCACAGAGAAAGTACAGTGAGCAGCTACAACGGCGGCTAACAGAGGACTTAGAAATGATTTCACAAGAACAGTTTGCAAATTTCCTATTTAGCAAACTGTAAACTATTTATACATGAAAGGGGTTAAAGGTCGGGCCCTTTGACATTTCAGGAATCTTATGGGGATCAGACTTGTGAGTGAGCCCTGATGTTTTGCTTTTGGGGATGTATTGAAAATAAATATTTGACCGCAAAAAAATATATCTTTGACCTGAGAAATCTTTTACTTAATATTTACAGTATACTGTACATGGTTGGCATGTACGAACACGAAATATATTTGGTTAATATACGGTATATTATCCAAATAATACTAATTGATACATTTACATTTGACTTAAAACATGTTTATGTTTACCTTTTCTTTTTATATATTTTTTTATTTAAGATTTTTTTAACTTGCTTTGTACTTTGCGTTAAAACTGAAGGAAAAAGTTCAAAATTACTTTGGCCCAATTTAAAAGAGAAAATGCTACCGTTTGGACAAAAATGGAAACATCTGTATCACATTAGGTAATCTATCAGTCAGTTAGTCAGTTTGGCTATTGACATTGTGGGTTTTGCACACTGAAACTGTTGTGAAATACTGTAAAATATTCTAAGAAACCTAAACAAAAAGCAGAACTGCTTCCTCCCACACAGCAAACTACACAGACACTCATTAAACACATGATTTCTTACCAGACTTGTGGTCACCATCTCCTCAAACCATTTGGACTGGGACTGGTTATAAAGGTCAACACAGCGCATCAGGTCGTCTCCTGTTGCAGGGAATAAAGATGACACAAAGAAAGATTTTTTTTTTAAGTGGAAGCACTGTGGGAGTATTTTTAATATAATGACATCATAGATATACAGAGAACGAAGGTCAATTAATCAATTATGTCTAATGATGGATTGTAATGGTGTCTTCAGTTAAATGTACAGCCAAAAGGACAGCAACAGCAGTGAGCATACTTCTGTGAACAACTGTTACTGTGAATAGACAGTTAAAGTCCTTCATGAGGATAGAAATAATATTTCTGAGTACAATAACTATAGGAAGAAGACGCCATTATCTCCAGAGAAGGAACAGAATCAGATTTGGATGCAATAGACAATGTTTGGAAAAAGCTACTTTTGGTATGGAATATTGAAATAATGGTGTCAAGTGGGAGCAGGATAAGTTTAGAGTAGGTGGGCCCCCAAAGGCCCACAAAAGGAGGAGAACATGTCTAAAAGTGAATGTATCATGGAGCCTCATCAGTTCATCAGCTCGGATTCACCTGTATTCTATTTTAAATTTACAGTACATGTGTATAGCGTATAGATTTGGGTATTGAGAAACTTGGAGCCGTTACCAAATTTCCAAGAACCGTGGATTCGTTCAGACACATGCATTTCGATTCTGCTTATTGGTTCCCAACTATGTGCATAATTCTCCTTTCACTTTAGCCATGAAGGGGAAGATGAGCAAGGAGAAAGTGGATGAAAGTCATAGAGCGGTTACACGATTTGTGGTGAAGGGGTTGGAATCAGAACCGAGATTTGATGAGAACCGAAAATCGATGAGTAGAATCGCAATCAGTTGGAACTGGTGTCGAAAAAATTGAAATTGCACACAACTTTATCTTACTTTGTGGTGCACGATTTCTCCACTAAGTGGTGCTATTACCCAAATATTCACAGCTGATGTGTTACGACACAAACACACACACACACACACACTGTATTTGTTCCACGTCACTCATTATTCCAAACACTGCAGACAATCTGAACTGATAATAGATTTCATTATGATACCATAAGCAATGATAAGAGGAAAGGCCTAATCTGTTCTTTCATTAATGTTACTGCCTGTCTCCTGCTGACAACAACAACAAACACTAATCACCTGAGAGATTAAATCAGAGGAAATGATGCCGATCATTCGGTTCTTCAGCCGGTGACTCTCAATCTTCAGCAGTCAGTGTCTACTGTAATATCTGCTGCTTTATATTCACATTAATGTTGCATTCTTCTGTAAAATATGCAAACTTATATAATAGCTCACAGCCAGTGTAGGCCAGTGTTTCTCAAAGTCGAGTTTAAGGACCAGTAGGGGCCCTTCAGGGAATGCCAACAGGTCAACAGAAATGACGTGTTTTCATCTGAAGTGAAACTGTTCCCTCCACCTAGAATACAGACGGTTATATAATTCTCTACCAACTCACGTCCAGCGCTAAATGATCAAGACTCGGAGTCTTTAGCTCAGGTCCCGGCCTCCCAATCAAAACGCACAACTCTGATTTGTTTGGCAATTTAAATTAGGTCGGTATTGTACCCATGCGCAACAGGCAACAGGGTGACAAGCGTGGAAGAGATGGACGCAGCTGTACAGGATGTTGCAAGTCGGAATAAAAATTCTGCTTATTTTGTTGATTGTCACAGAAAATATGAAAAATCCCAGTTTCAGCTTTTTTCAACTCTTCACTGAAGCTATATGGCACAGCATGAGTTTATAATGACAGACATACTGGCGGGGCTGTGGGATTTAAGAGGTGTACAAAGTAATAGATTCAAAATTTAACCGTCACCGTCTGCTGTTACTCATTGTTACTTTTCATACACTGTATATTTGTATTCTTTTTACTATTTTTCACCTACTTGTATGAAAATATTAGTTCTCTGGTTACCTTTAACCATCTTTGTTCAGCTTTGTTGCCCTTGTTTTTAGCTGCATGTCTTTCTGTTTCTATGTTCCTGTAAAGTGTTCTTGGAACTGTGTGTAAGTACACTGAGTCACATTAAATGTATGAGTACACATACTTGGCCAATGAGGCCGATTCTTACTCTGGTTTAAAGGGGAACAGATCTATTTAAATACATTTCATGTAGATTTTGTCTTCTGGTGCTTCAAAAAGTAGTGTTTGCTATACACAGTTTACAGTGAACAAGGTCTTCAGGTAAGCTCTGAATATTCTTCTATTCTATATATTTGAAGTGAAGGAAAATGGGAGAAAATACAAAAGAGCTGCTGTTGATGCTGCAGAACAGCCCTACAACTCTTAAAAAAGTCTAATCATGGCCTTAGCTGGTTGATATTTAAATGTTATTCCTCGTATAAGGAGACATAAATGAGTGAATGCTGTGTGTAATCCAATGCAGTGAGAGCATGAAGCGATAAGGTGTCTTTGTTATGAACAGACAGATGCAGCGCTTTACTTGTTTTGGCATCAGTCTCCTCTCCGCTTCCCTCTCACTGTAGTCATCATCACTGGCAGCCAGACGACATGAGCACTGTCAACAACTGCTGCTGTTTTTCTCCCTGGTTGCATAAGCAGCACGGAGGAGGGATGACTCCGTGTGTGTTTGAAGAGAGCCAGTTGGACGGACAGAGTACTTGTGTGTGACAGCATGCGGCCGTGCCTGGTTGAGTCATGACATCACACTCTGAGCTGCAGAGAGCCTACATCTGTTTACTCTTAGCCAGTCACTTTCCTCAGGTCGCACACCTCTTAAAAACTTTTACAAACCAACCCGGCTGCTGCCAACGCTACTTTCCCCCCTCGCACCCTCCCGACATGCGTACATGTTTTTTGTATTTGTTTGTTTTTTGTTTTTTTTAAACAGCTGACCCAGTGAGTACAGATCCTGTTCTGCAAGTGGAGACAATGATTTCTGTCAGGGAGGGGGCAGGTTATTGTGATCTAAACCAATCAGGAATGGCGAATCTGTAACATGGAAGCTGCGGTCGTGGTTGCTAGGAGCACTTCAAATTTGGGCAGTGATTCTGATATCAGGTTAGGGCACTGAAACACATCAAACTTAAAACAAGTATGCAACTACATAAAAAGCTTAAGTAGGGCAGTGCAATAAGTCAAAAAGTTTTCATCCCAGTCGATATCAATGTATACACTGCAACATAAACTAGGTCACTAAATTTTCGCTGAACTTTTGTCGGAATGCAACGCTACGTCATCTGGAAAGGATCCGCAGTGGCCAATCAAATATTCATGCACTAATTCCTGGTAGATTACTTAGTAATATGGATGCTGAATTTTTACAGTTTACCTCACAATCATCATGACAAAAGATAAAATTGCTGCCACTAACCTGCATTCTTTCTAGCATTCCAGCAGGGGGCGCCTCCACTGGTAGCAAAAACAAGCCCAATTGCATTGGAGTCAATGACAAAATGACTCAACTTCTCACCTGATTTATTACCCCAGTAAACATTTTTCTAATGAGTTCACGGTCTCAATTGCTTTGTTTCAAGTCTTCCTCAACACAGCATGATGATCATTTAGTAAATGACGCTCACATTTAGAGGAAAACAGACTACAAAGCAGGGGATGCTTTAGGGCATGGATGAAAAATGTGCTGTTAATTTTTCCAGTCAGTACATTTTGATTTAAGCCAGTTTTTTTCTTGCTAGTCAAAATTAGCATCCCATTTAAAATCACAGTTAACGTGAATTACATCGGTATCTTGCTAAACAAGCTAGCCAGCGCATCCCTCTCATCCAAATATGGTCATGTCCGGTTCCAAAAAACCAAGAAGGCGACGGCCAAACTTGAGGCTTTAAAACGGTAGACCAAAAACAATGTGTGGTGTAACGGTGGCTACGTCCACCTATATATGATACGGTCTATGCACCAAACTGATCTATTATTCAAACGGGACTTCCTGGATAAGTTTTTATGTTTCACTGTTTTCGGTCTGAACACCCGCTAAGATTGTAGCAGAAAGTGGATGTGCTTTTTGCTGTGCTTTATATTTGTAAGAGGAATGTTGTGTCATTGCTTCAAAAGTTACATGGCCTCACTTAAAAAATAATTTTAGTCTCCTATTAAGCCTTTTTTTTTTTTTTTTTTTTTTTAAAGTGCAATTTTCACTCAAGTAGTGTGTATCGCCCCCAAGGGCTATGGAATTAGTCCACGCCCACGCCTCTCCGTCAGTCTGGTGTGAACACAGAGTATTCAAGTGGAGAATGTTTCTGACCCCTGTTCTTCCCTCCTCTCCCATCCTTATATGAAAGAAAAAAATCCCAGTCTGGCCTGAAGTGCTGATAAAGCTCATGACTCATTAAAAAGAAACACAGCATCTTGGTTCACAGCCGATCTCAAACGGCCGCTCCAATGAAGGGCTACAGAAACACTGGAGGAGGACACAGAGTTATGTCCAGTGAGTTAACCATTTACTGAACAGTATGAGTTCTGTTGTCAGTGGAGTCTACTTTGTAGCTGCACTGATGACAGCGCTGAAACAAACCACTGCTGATGCTCCTCAGATGATCTCTGATAAGGCAGAGTCCTACATCTGGCGGGGAAGGACTTTTATAGGTTGAATGATGATATCCAGATCCACATGTCTGCTATTCCGGGTTCCTATCGTAAATAAACTCTATTTTCTCTGCACATTTTATTTAGTCCTTCTAATTAACAGAAATGTTTGTGCAAAGTGATTTAAAGGCAAGGCCAAACAATGGTGTGTCTAACTCTTTGATTAAGAGCCATATATCATGACGTCGGAATAGACTGCCATCAAATTCATGGTCCCCAGAGGATGAAACTCCTGAGCTTTCTTTCAGCACAAAATCTACAGGGCAGACTGCAATTTACTGAACACATCTGAGAGGAGAGGATCTACTCTACTACTAAGTTTTTCTCTAGTGCTACCGACAGACAAAAATTGGAAAACTACTAAATATATCTAACAATCCAATACACAGAATGCCATGAAATTAACATTCATGTTCCACTGCTCCGTTAAAAGCAGTTTGCTGCTGATCACTTGCGGAATAGATACAAAAGATTTGTGTTGATTTACTTTACCCCCACGTGCATATCCAATGATTATCAGTTGCAATTTTGTTTCAATTTTAAATGCTGGTTTTGCTCATTTGGTGGCTGAAATATGTTGCAAAGTGGCTTTGCAAAGTGATTTTGTTTACAGGGCTGCTGACCTGATTCTATTGCATTCTGGGGTTCACTATGAATAGACTTTTAGTATCCTCGCATGGCGTGACCATTTTAAAGATAGAAATTACAGGCACTTAACATAATCACCAAAAGAAACTCAGTTAAATTGATCAGTATCAGTTATCAGAAGCCACTTTCGTTCATAATCTGTTTTATCCCCACAGACATATGCGAACTTGCTCTGCTCCTTCCTACCCAAAACAACAAACACCTGGGCGAGACTGTGACACCCACAGTGTCCCTGCAGTTTGACCTTTGACCCCTGGCCCTGACCTGCTTGTGTGGATTTCCTGCGGGCTTTCTTGATGTCTTCTTCAATCTTGTTGCTGAGTTTGATCTCCAGCTGCTGAGTCTTCAACTCCAGCTCCTTCTGTCTGTCAGCCAGAGCTTTCCGGGCCTGCCGGAGATAAGGGACCAAAGTCAGAGACACGCTCAGATCTCACAGCGGCATGTGTAGAAAACTTATTACCCCAAAGCTAGTAAAACTGTCCGCTTTTACGTTTCAGGCCGCAAATGTGTTCTGGCAACAAACACAATTGTAATTAATGTGATAAAAAGTTTGCAGCCATTATAATATCACAGTCTGCTTCCATTCATCACAGTGATAATGCGGTCTGCTCCAAACATTCTCAGTATTCATCTACAATCCAGTGTTAAAGCGGTCTCATGACAGCCAACATGGTCAGTATCTCATTTCCTGTCCTGCTTCAAATCGTCAGTCGTCCATCAGAAGAGTTCATCAGGGAGAAACCGTTTGGTCCCTTCTCCGAGCGAACTCTGCTCAGATGACAGATGATGTGAGACAGATTTGCAGTTGCCTTCAGGCTTCAGCCAATTGCTTTTCATTGTACACATACAAAAAAGCAGGAAACATTCGAGGGACGGGAAACAGCCTTCTGCTTATAGAAGAGATGTGGAATTTTAATCACCAGCTAGATGATTCCTGAAATTCTGCTGCTGCCAAGTAGAAGCACAGAACTGTGTTACATTAGAGTTGCTTTGCTGGTTTGTACATCTGTATGTGTTTATGCGTACCTTCTCCACTGCTGCATAGCGACCGACCAGCTGTTTCCGTAGGTCGGCGATGTGATGGTCGAACCTCTTCATGTCCTTCTTAAAGTTCTCCCGGAAGGTCAGGAAAGGCTTCTCCACTTCGCTCTGGAGCTGCTCAAACCAAAAAACAAACTAACGAGTCAACACTCACCAGCACTGTCAGTGTGAGCCTGTCCATCTGACAGACTCACACTGGGGCTGAAATAAAAGTAGGCCAGAGCTCCCCGGCTTCTCACATTCATCTGAATAGTGTCATGTGAGGACAGCCAGTTCGCAACAGGACAAATATAGAAAAGAAAAAGTCACTTCCCCTCAGCTCTATTCTATTTCCCCACACCAGGCTGTGGTGGGATAGACAAAAATTTATGATTAGGTATAGCGTACAGAAGAATTTCAATATGGTGTCCCTCAGTGATTGCGTGTTGAGTTCACTTGTCATGCAGGCCCAACTTTTGATTACTTTCAGATTCCTCATAACTGAAAAGAAAAAAAAATCTGTCAGGAACCTTTAAGCACTGAATGACAATATAAATCCAGATGCAGTAACTCTTGATGCATATAAAGCGGTGTTGATGTAAAATTCCTCCTTTTACCAGCAGCAACTCATGAAGGATTATACTATTTAAGTGTCAGTAATGAGAAAGTTATCAATCATAAACCCTCCCCACCCCCACCCTGTAAATCTAATTTAATTATCAAAAAACCCTAATTAGCTTCCTTCCCTGTGGTCGCTTTCCACATTATGTCATCATCCTCTCACAATGAGCTAGTTTACATGAGAAAGGTTTGGAGCCATACAACAACACTGCCTAGCCTCTTTTTCAGATTCTTCCTGCTTTCTAAAGGTAAAAGAAAGGTGAATGACACGCAGTATAAAACCTTGCCGCCCCAAGAATGTGGCAAGATAATATTATTCTTGAAATGAATAACTTGAGCATTAAGCCCATGACTGGTTATTTGATCCTAATAAGCAGTGTGGTGTTCTGCCCCAGCAGTCAGTGATGAATGAGAGCTACAGCTCGCATTGGAACCCATCATTCAGAGTTAATTTCCACTCAAATCCTTCCTTCTCCTCCGAGAGCCTGGAACTGAGCTGCACATCTGTGCATCTCTGGAGGATAACATCACCGACTCCCATTTCCTCCATCGGTCCAGCTGTAATCCTGGCCTCTATCTTCCTTTTTCCCTCTCTTTAACTCCCAAGACAAACTCATCCAGCACTTGCACTTCACAGCCCTAAAATTAAGAGCATTTCCCCTCGAAACCAGTGGTGGAAGTGAAAACTCGAGTTCTCTGAGCAAGTGTCTCTCAAGAGCAGCTGCAAAGATGCCGAGATCGGACCTACAGTTCTTCCCACTAAGAGGAAGGCACGACATGAAAAGGTGGTGGGGTTATAAATGTTGATCCAAAGCTTCAGCGTCATGTGTACAGTTTATGCTTTAGCCCACAGAACCATCAGGAAGCCCTTTACTGCATGTAATTACATTTGAAGGCAGGCAGTCTGCCTCGTGAGTCACATGTGCTGTAGGCTGCAGAGCCCACGGTCAATATGGAATCACATACTGTACAAGAGATTCCTAACTATGCAATGATCAGTTTTGCATTATAGCACCTTTAAGACTTTATGAGCTCAAGATAGAATTTTTTCTGCAATTTTTTTTTATACATTTCTTGAATAGATTTTTTTGTCATACCCCCACACACACTATATATTAAACATTAAGAGAGCTGCTCATTTAGTCTGTTTACTCATTTTAGTTTAGACCTCTTTGTAAATCGTAATTGGATTTTCAATGTTTTTTTCTTTTTAATGTTTTCAGTTTTTAATGTCAGTATGTATTAACACTTTTGTGCCACTGTGAATGAAAGATGGTCCCCAGAATTATGTTACAATTTTAAATCATTATTCTGTCAAACCTCGCATGACTGACCATCATAGCTCCCATTTACACTTCGTTGCATCCATACAAGTTGCTTAACTTGGTTAAGTTGCGGACAGACACTGAGCATGAAGCGAAATTCAGAGATGCCGGAGAGTCTGAACTGCCACACAACCACAGCGGAAGCAAATAGAGCCCGGCTGATATTATCGACCGATATGAGCTTATTGCATTTAATTGGCATCGGCCGTTTATAACAGCAGATATATGACTGAAAAAAGAAAAAGAAAGAGTCAGATCCTTTACTCATGTCATGAGTGTTGCATAGTTTGCCCACCAGAGGGCACGCTGCAGCTCCTCTGTTAACAACACTGCCTCACCACAAAAACCACAGAAGAAAACAATCAGCTCACCGGAGCCTACCAGAGCACAGTAGAAACAACATGCAGAGTGACCGTGTTAGCGGTGAGTTGGTCATTTGTCATTAATTACATGAAATAAATTATAATAAAAACAGCCCCAATCACACCTCTCCTTAAAACATTTATTACTTGCTAACCCTCCCGTTTTTCACTGCACTCTCCCGGCTCACAGCAGCATTTTAATGTTACGGTAGTTGAGAGTTGGAGGCTACGCTGCTGACAGACGTGATTGTGGATTTATTTCTGAAACAGTGTGGCAGTTCTAGCGAATGGTCCTCTCCTTTGTCCCTAGTTCATCACTACTATATATTCTCTAAAATCACGTAACATTACAGCAGCTAACACTGCCCGTTGCTAAATTAGCAACAAAGCTAATGCTGTGTTTATCAGTGGAGGAGCACCAACGTTGTAATGAGTTTCTGGTGTATTCTAAATATATCTGTGAGCCGTTTGTAGTTTTAGTCGGCATGTTGGAAATGATAGAACCAGAGAGGACAAACAGCGGATAAACGTGATCTGAACAAACATCTAACATGGCTTCCTGCCAGACAAAGTTTCAGGTCCTCGTTGTAGACAGCCATGTAGTATTAGATGCATTCAACAGCAGGTCACTGTAATGTTATTGTAGACGGCCTGATTTGGACAGATGGTGGTTGAGAAATGGTTTCTTGTAGCTTTGATTAGAATTAAAGAGAGCTGGTCCAGGAATGAACTGGATGTGATTATGCAACATTGAGTTATGGCAGATAATGTGAAAAGTGAAATACATGCTTATTCTCTCTCACTCTCTCTGTTTACAGATGGCTGAAAAAGTTGCACCTTCTAGCAGCAAGGATTTATTGATGTGCAATTGTTTACATGTTCAGTTTTTCAGACTGTAATCTATTTTTATTAACATAATCCATTTAGGAAAAGGTTTTATAGTACACACACATACCAGCTTTCAATATCGGCCTGTTCTAAGTGTAGTTTATACAGGAAAGGGGTCTACTATCCAAATCATTTGAAATATCGAAATATCGGCTCATAAATCGGCTCTTTTTCACTTTAATATCGGCATCAGCCCCCAAAGACCTATATCGGTCGGGCTCTAGAAGCTCCACACATGTAGTTGGTTGGTGTGTACATTGCTAGCTAGTTACAGCCAACATGTGTATTATCATTATTATCAACAATAGTTGGAGCATTAGCTTTTTAGGAAAACGTGAGCAGAGACTTTATGTGAATAACAGCTAATTAGAAGTGGAGAAAAGTGTAATGAATTACCTTTGAGGAGAACTTTAGGTGAACATCAGCTTCGTCTGCCAGGCTCTTCTTCAACTGGGCCCAAGCCTCCCCCAGAGTTCTGAGAACAGATAAGGAGGTGGGTCCGGGAGAGTGTGTTTAATATCTTACACAAGAAAGGACCACACACACTTTTACATGCAGGCATGCAGGGAGGGTGGAAAGTGTTGGGGAAACGGGAGGCAGGGGTGAATCCTATCACACATATACACAAACCCACACTCACACACAGATGGGGTCCACAGCCAGTTCAACAGATGATTAGGATGTATGGGCCATGAGATATGGCTGAGCTTATTCTCTCAGCCATGAGTTCACCCTTTCAGCACAGCTGGGGGCAATAACACTGAGAAGACTTGCACTGTTTTGTAGATAAGCATTAAAATTAGCCAATGCGCATTAGGTAATAATTATGCACAACATGTCTTTTTAATAGGCCAGACATTTGTTTTGATTTAAAGAAAGCGAATGATTCATAATTATCTCTGACAGAAAATGGAATTAGACAGAACGCCTCTTCATATTTCTTCGAGCTGTGGACTGTTAAACAATCACCCAGCAGGCAGGCAGTCACAGCCACAAGGCTTTGGGTCCAGGACTGACGGCCTTTATGGGTAAGCGGGTTACTTCAAAGCATCGCTCTGAATGGAAGACATGTGTGGAATTCCCTCAGACTGACATCCAAAACATTCCTGACACTGTCAGAGTAAAGTCTGGCACCTGCAATCCTGCCGCATCAAAAATGGGTCAGCTCTTTTTAACTTTATTCTCATCAGATTCACAAACTTGAAATTATTTCTGAACATCATGTGATAAGCTGAAAATGTTTTGTGATTCCATACATTGCTTACACAGCACAAAGCTGATGTGGATGTGACATCTGAGTGACATTTGTGTTTTACGCAGGATGCACACTGGTTTGTTGGAATGAAAAGAGTTGTAAACGTGTACAAATAGCCATGGCTGAACAAAGAAGACACTTAAACTTCATTAAAGGTGCCCTGTGTTTTCTTATAAATATACAAAGTTTCAGTTTAGATTCAGTGTTCCTCTCCAAAAAACCCAGTGTGTATCCTTGGTGTCCAACAAACATGTCAGTTCTTCTGAAACCTGCATTGTTTACATTGGTGTTTACTTGCAAGCCGTCTTCTTTTTCCCCGCCTTTGTTAGGGTTAGTGTAAAACCATAGGCAGGAATGTCTATTGTGTCAATGTGCGTCCTTGTACACGTGCACGAGAACAAAAAAAAGGAGAACCCACTCATGAAAACACTGGCAAAACACTGCTCCATAGCTCTACTAGTGAGCAAAAACATTTACTATCCCCCCATCTCTACTATGTTATCCACCTTGAAAACATACGAGCTGGAGGAAAGGAAGCCTTTTGTTTATGTCTCATGATTCAAAGCTTCAAAAGTTACCACTCAAATTTATTTTCACACTCAGCAAATTACATCTGCCATGTCCCTACAGTCTTACAGTCTCCGGTTGCAAACACTTGCAAACAAAATACTGTGTCTCAGGGAAAATGTATCTCCTGCCATGTACTCCCTCCATTGAACAGAACTGATCCAGTGCAGGATTGGTGGCAATAAAAGGCGGTCACACGCCTCATGGCCACTTCTCTAATAAAACAAATGGTAAATTCAGGAATAAATAGATGGTTGGTTCTGGGCTGCGGCTGGTCGGATGGTAGGAACTGACCAACAAAACAGTGATTGTCCTGTCTGACAACAGAGCTGGCTGAGGGGGAGAATAATGAAAGTATTGTGTTGCACTTTTCTGGGTGTGGGCAGACAGAGCCGGCTGGCATAATCTGGATTCTATATGGGACAATTCCATCCCACTAACCCTCTCTTACCATGCTAATAAGAGAGGTTATCTTATAACGCATAAACAGTGCAGAGGAGGGTAAGCCTAGCTAAACCACGCTGTCTCATTTGCACCACAGTGTTTGCCCACTTTCCTGGTCTGATGTTCAGAATGTGAAATAAAGTACAAAAAGTACAAATACCTCTAATGTGTACTTAAATATAGTACTATTTTGTTACTATCCACCACTTGGCTTAACTTTGGCTACCTGAAACAAACAAAAAAAGGACTAGAGATGTTTTCTACATTTTTTTTATTTTTGATACATTTGTATTTTTGAAATATAATATATATATATATAAAAAGTCAGATTTAGCTATTGTTATAATTTCTATTTGTTCAGGTCAATTATGAACTATAGGTAAAATTTACCTGCTAGTAAAAACTTGAGAGAATTGGCTGGGGCCGAGGGGCCGCTGCTGCAAATATTTGAGCGGCTCCTCCTCTAACCATCTCACTCCAAACTTTTGATGAAATTTGAGAGCCCTGTTTTGCTTCTCAGAAAAGTGTACTAAGTAGAGATTTGGAAATCACTAAATTATAACAGGTTGCACCACACAAACTAGTTCTAACGTAGAGAGTAGTTGTTGCTAAATATTCCCATTTACTTTGTACTTACTACACCTTGGTAGCTGTAACTGTTGCGTAGCTGGCTCAACCAGCTGGCAAACTGGCAGCAATAATTAATAAATAAATATCATTATACATTTTAACTTGGATTTAATATGCGTAAAATATCAATCAAGCAATATGTATGTCAAGTACCTTTAAATCACATTTCACATAACATGGCAAAAATTAATGAACAACCCAATAATGACCCAATAAGGTCTGTTTGGTCAGTTAGGGTAATTACAAATGTCCCTCTCTATCTCTAAACGGCATGAATTCTATTTATTCTGAAATACATTTTTCTCTTTGCATGCTTCGGGGTTAAGTTTACTATATCACTCTTGAAACTAGTCTTTTTGAAAGTTATGTTACAGCTCCTGATGCTGCAGTGACATGTTGTCACGTTGCCACGCACTCTCACTGTGTCCTTATGGAATCTCTTAATAAAGACGGGTTTAATAATGATGCCGTAGGTGGCTTCCGTGCAAATCACAGCTTCTTCTCTTTGTGGGTGTCGGCCGTGCCCCTCTCAGCTTCCTGTTAGTTTACTTTCCATGTTCCTGTGTCCCCTTCGGAGAATCAGACAAAGACTCGCCCTCAGCACAATATCCCCTCTGCTGTCACAAACTGAAGAAAAGAGGAGTGGCTGCAAAACTCTTCCCCTGCAGGGTTTCCCTGTATTTCCTTTCCCCTACAACCCCCAACACACACGACTAAATGTCTGCCTCCTCATATCTCACCCCCCTCAGTTAATTCTCTACCTCATCTCCTCCCTCCCTCCGCTCCTCTGCTCTCTCTTAATGGCTGAAGTATGCTGCAGAGCAGAGAACAAAGCAGTGGTGATTTACAGGAAAGCTGTACTCACACCGGGATGTCTCGCTTGTTTGGCTAAATGACTGTCTGCCTGACTGGCTAATTGGGCAACTAATTCGACATTAGTGTGAAGTTACACAGGTTAACTTTAAATGGATGTGCTGCAAATGCTGCTGTATACTTGCAGTTCAGATTAACAGTTATAAGGAAGTTAACAAAAATAAGGAAGAAATGCTCATCACCGGAGTTCTGTATATATTAGTTACTTTTTTTTCCTGGGAACAACAGTCAAAAACACAAAGATATTCAATTAACAATGATATAAAACACAGACATTTTCCCATTTGAGAAGCTGGAACCAGTGAATGTTTGATATTTTTCCTTGAAATTTCAAAGCAATGAATATATTTGGAAATCTTTCCCAGATTGTGCATGATCTAGTATTGAATCTCTACCAGCTTTATGACTGTTGTTTTGCTGCTGACCCTGACCTTCTATGGTGCAATAAAATATCACATTAATATTATTACAAAATATACTGTGGACGAAGTCTCCCAAAAAACACATCATTTACAGCCTCCTCATCTCCAAGGCGGCTGCATAGCTTCTTTTCCCAGTGTTGACGTGTATGCTGATTCACATCTTCCATGCAGCCATGTGTGTGACAAGCTACTCTGTGATAAGAGGAAGTTTGTCTTTCTCCATGAATTCCTTGAACGAGGAAGGTCACTCACCCTTCTTCCTGGCTCGCCAGAGGGATCTGAGAGAGCTTGGAGAGATTCTTGGCGTACTCTTCCTCTATCTTTATCCTGAGAGGGAAGTAGAGAGTTTCATTACCACACAGCCTTTTACGCAATCTGTTTCCACGCGTGTTTCCTGTGTTGTGCAACACAGTGATGTACATAAATAAGCACAAAAAAGGGGAAACGGTTGTTTAATGATAACTGTATTGTTTACATGGTAACCTGAGGATGAAGTGTGAAAAAAAGAGAGGGGGTGATGGTTGATGAAAAAGGTCATACCTTTCTCGTATGAACTCGGCCATCTCTTTCTGCATCTGTTTCCCCTTCAGCTGTTTCTGCAGTAAAACCTCAAATCCTGTGATGTAGCCGTTGCCCTGGGGATCCTTCTTATCGGTCTAGGAGATAAACACAGCAAGCACACGAGAAACACATTGAACAAACAAACACTTTGAAACAAACATGAGAACATCACACCTTGGTGCGTGCCCGCTGCATGCTCCCTCAAACACAGAGAGGTAATGCAGCAAGAGCAGATAAAGGCTGCATTAACAGACGATCAGGCAAGTCCACCTCTGATTTGATGTAGATTGAGTGAATAATGTATTTATATTGCTGAAAAAAATAAGTTCATATTACATTCATTATATACTGTAGTAACCTGCCTACTTTAAAATCCATGTTTACATGCAGCAGGTCAGTAATCAGATTTCTCCCTAGACCTGGCCTTTGTAATCACAACACTACTCATATTAAAGCTGCACTCAACAATATTTTTATGTCAACAATGGATAAAATGACGTGTGTGTAGTGTAAAAAGTCTAACTTGTAGTGAAAAAAACTACACAGAATTTTGTCTGCAGTTTCTTTCACTCCCACGGAGTGTTTTAGCGACTTTCAGCTGACTGTCTTGGTTTCAACGGCCCACAGCATCACTGTTATGCCCACTCATTAACCTTGTCCAGCACTGTTAATGCGGAAAACAATTCACGTAGCATCACAGAAACTACCTTGTGTCAATACTAGTTTTAGTCAGAATTTTAATTAAAAGGTTTTCTGAATGCTGCGCTATGATTACTGCCCTTTCATTTCATCTCAGCACTGCTGTCAAAGCGGAGCTATTCCTGTCCGAAATCTTTCATGTACATGCACTGCTGTTAAAACCTCATTAGAAACCTGGTTATGCACAGACATGGCAGGGAAATAAGGTTTCTCCTGGCTGAATTCAAATTTCATTTCTCAACTCACTCTTGTCACCTCCTCTGTGGTTATGACTACATTGTGTTAGCTCCACAAACCACACCTGGTAGAGATTACACTGCAGGGGTGGAAGGTGTCCAAACAGAGCAGCAGAGGCCAGCTGGCTCACTGCACTCCAGCCAGTTCCATGTAATGTATTGTCCTACCACACTGTCTGTTAGATCTTACTAAAGCCAATGCTGATTCTCAGTATGCAGTAGAGCCAGTCTGAGATAAATATGGAGTCATGTTGAAAGATGAAAAGGATCCAGTGTTGTTTTTTGTTCACATGGAGAATCACTTTTTTTCAAGTACTGTTTTTATTTCTTTGGTTGCTAGTTCTTCTCATTCAAGAATATTCTTTTTAAAAAGTGTCTTCATCTTTTCCTTGCTTCCCTTCCCCCTGTTTAGTCATCTTTCTCTTGGTTTGTTGAGTTCTTGTTCCAAAACATCAAAAATCTGTAATAGTTAAACTCAATGCTGTGCTCAGTTTTCGGTCCCTTATTTAGAGGCTTCTGGTATTGTCACTATGCATGTAGTATATTGCTTTTAAGGCATGCTTACATTGTTATTTTCAAGATAAGGATTGGATTTTTTCAACACAGAGAAACAATGTATGAATTAAAAAAAAAAAAAAAGGATTTTGTCACTTTCATGATGTTGTTTTTGACACCACAGTGCTTTGGGCGTATACAATACGCATAATGTTGCCATCAAGTCAAAGGCTATGTCCCAAATCACTCATAGACCACTACCTATATGATACAGTTAACAGTAAAATGAGATTTAGGACACTTATGAATCATCATCATCATTTTACATCATCACTGACAGACTGCTTGACTGTATATTTTGCATTTATATAATTGCATTGTGAGATGGTTAGCAGACAGCAGTGTACATGCCATGAACTTAACTATTTTGGCAGCAAATACAGTGAAATAAGTAGTGGACAGGGAGCGATTTCAGACACAGCCTGGGAGTTAGCTGAGGAGTACACCAAAGTTGTGTTTTTAGCTTATATCTGTTCACAAGTAATTTATAGCCTGTTACATGTTGAGGTGAATTTACCCAGAAGTAGTCACAGTAGCTCCATTCGCTCGGTTTCAGCAGCTGTTGCTCTGGCATGCACGCATGTGACGGGAACGTCACACAGTTAATCTGAGAGATAGAGAGAGAGAGAGAGAGAGAGAGTAAGAGACAGAGCACCACATGGAGGGCAATTTAACGGGGCAGTTTATAGTATGACAGACAACTTTGCTTTGATGCCACTGTACAGTACAGCAGCACTATAATGCTCCATGTGTTGACAGGCACACTGTAAAAGTACAGACACACACACACACACAAACTCACAGACTTCTGCTCTGGTATTCAAGGTAGTCTGCACTCTGTTGCTTTGGCAACACTCATCTCAGCAGCTCCAAAAACACACCAAAGTAAAGAAGACATTTACCAGACCCAGCATTGTTCATTCACTTTTCTCTATTCACCCTGTCCTTGGAGACACGATTGTCAATATAGAGCACTTGTGGTTCTCAGCCTTTTTTGGATTCATCATTCAGCTCTCTACCACAACACTCTGAACTTCTACTTTAGCCCGAGTAATCAGCAAAATGGATTCCCAAAGATTGCCCTTAATTATCTTGCAGTTATTTTTCTGCCTGTTCTCCCAGAAGCAGTGAGGTTGAATCTGTTGTCTGCTGTGAGCCTGTTGGTTCTGCTCTACGCAATACTGTCACTCTGGTACTTTCTGCGCTCAGGGGGCTTGGTGCGTTGCTTTTACATCTTCCGTTGTGGAAGGGAAGACAGAAGACAATCATCTCCACCGTCTCCTCTTTATGAACTGCAGTCACGCAGGATAATAAAATTCTCTGACGCCACAGCTGCTTTGGATACAACTGCACAAGGTCAGGATTTGACAAGTCATCACTTTTAGGTTTAGCAGAACAAAAATACTAGTTTACCATGAAAATGCAAAACTTACTCGGCAGATACTTCAGCTGCCAACTCAATTTCTTATGACAAGGAAGACAGAAAGAAAAAGAAACAAGAAAGAAAGAAACCGCACATCTTAAAAAAGAAAAGCCAAATGAAACTAAATTAAAAGCCATGTCTTCACGATAAAGAGACTCCAGGTTTAGACTCCGGGGGCAAACAAAAAGAGCTTTATCTTCTCTCACATTCATTCCAATTAACCTCAGGAGGTAAACAGCTTGCAGCAGGATACACTGTTTCTATTTTTAAAAAATCTGTGGCACCAGAGAGCACCCTTGTCTAATGCCAGAGACTTTCAGAGTAAATCAACAAATCCAGTTCTGCTGATGACTTTTCCAGAGCCAATATTCAAATTGAAATGCAAGAAGAAGAAAAGGTCTCTAATTCAACCTTATCCTGGCGTATGAGGCTTATAATTTGTTTGAGGGAGTGGCTTTTCTATTTAATCACTGCTGAGGTCCAGAGGTTGACAGTTAGCAGAGCTTAAAACTGACCCCCTGCTCCCTTTGGTGAAGAAGAGGGCAAGGCTACTTCTAAAAGTCTCCAGTAAAAGTTTGTTTGCATTCACACGCACACACTGCTTCCAGCACTTCTTTTCCTGACTTTGGGTGACCTCAATAAATAGACCATTTAATAACCCTTCCTGTAAACAGTCAATCTCCAGTCTAACTAGCCACGGCAGGCCTGCCACACTTTGGATTTCTCCAGATATTGAATAATAAAAGATATTTAGTATCCAAAGTATTTTGGAGGGTGAAATTTGTTGTTGGCCTTTCTTTCAAAAACACCTAAAACACATGAGTTGTCTTGCATGGAATGGATTACGTGCTTTATGCTCTAACATTAGCATACCTGGGTAACTAGCTTACTACTCAGAACAGCAACCTAATGCTACCTTCCAGGAAAAAAGTTAGCCAGTCATTAGCTTACTTCATCATTTTGCGTGGTTACAAGTTACATTAGAAAAGGCCTTGTTCAGGACTGGAACATCCACTGCATGGGAGTTGATAGTGGATGCCACTGTCTCAGAGTTTAGGCTAACGTTAGCAGCTCTAATACTCTACCGGATTTGGGGAAGTTACACTTCAGCAACCTCAGCCAAACTTATTATCGGAGTTGGAATTATGTTTGCAAAACTCATGAATTAGCCCTCACGCTGAAAGCTTTTTCTTTTGTTTCGAACCAACTCATGGAGTTAACGCGAGTTAGCTAAAGCAATAGGCTAAAGCTGATAAAATTTGGCAGTGACAGCTGCCTTTTCAGCTTGCAAAATTAACAGTTGTCGACTAAAAATGAGAAGCTGCTTTTGTATGCTTCTGTCTGAAATCAAGAACCCATTGTTTAAAAAACATTACTAAGAATTTCAAGCGGTAAATCAGCCACTCTTAATATTATACAATGCACAGGCCTATGGACTGTGCTAGAATGGGGTACAGTTTGTTAGTACACCTTTTCTGTATAGTATAACTATATATATTTAATGCTGCTTTCATTTAGGATGGGAGAATTGCGTTCAAATTTAGAAAAGACAATACTCACAAGGGGGAATCATTAGCGCTGATGCCAATTATCTCAAAATACCAGATTTCAGCCCAATTATTTGGCAGACAGATTAATCACTACTAATATCAGTAACAGTTAAATTGGCACCATGTGTAGTTCACCTCACCTCTCTCTCATGTTTCTTGTGATAACCATATGTTTATCAATAGCATCCCACTGGTTGCTATGGAAGCTGAGACATAACCCTCCCCATCTCAAGCTGGTGATTTTAAATGTGCAGTAAGAAAAAAAAATCCACAGAAAAAGTCAGAGAGAAATCCATAACATCACAACAGCAACCAAGCGTAAGGCCCAACAGGATGCGACGATCTGACAGAGGAGAAATCATCTGGATGCTGGATAGGATGATGTCACTGTGTATCTGTGTACTAGCAACTGAAAACAGGCACCAAACACTTCTCCCAGCAAAGAATAGATAGGAAATGTAGAAAAAGCAACACTGAAAAGGACATTAAACACATTTACAGCTGTTATATCGTCAAAATTTACTAGGTATATTGTCCCAATGTGTAAAGTGTCTAATTTATGTCCACGACTGATGCAGCAAACATGTATCTGGGCAATCAACACCCCTGGAAATAGCATTTACCTATATTATCCTTTTCAAACTTGGGGGAAAAATACTGAAACTCTGATCAGTTGGTATCAAATCTGGTCCTTCAGGGCTACTGTACAGTAGAGAGCCGGGGTGAGTTCATGGTTAGTTAAGAGTTCCCGTTAGTTGCCCCACTCACCGTGACCGTGGTCTCCTTGTTCTGTTTCCTGGTGGGCGACGTTGATCCCGGGCTCTGCGGAGAGAAGAAGGACGCGCCGTCAAAACCTCCTTCCTCCGTGTCAGACATGACTGCTCAACATACACACACACGCACACAAACACAGCTGTTTTCCTGGCAAGCACTGTTAGCGTCCGTCTCCCTGCCTCTGCCTCTGCTGCTGGTGTATATGTGTGTGTAAGTGTGTTGCTGTGCAGAGTAGGGAGGATAGTTCTGCAGAGCAAAGCAAAGCATGGTTGGCTTTCTCTCTTTGTGTTTGAGTGTGGATGAATGTGTGTGTGTGTGTGTGTGTGTGTGTGTGAGTGGGGGTTTTCTAACACTTAAGCTTGGAATAGAGTAATTTCCAGTGTCCTGAGATAAACCAACATTGTGGGAATATATGAAGGGTATTAGGAAAGAAGTACAAATATAAAGTGAGATGAAAAGTATAAGGTGGCAAAAGTAGCAAATGTGTGTTTATATTTTTTTGAATGACGAGGTGTGTGTGCACGAGATGCAGATAAGGAGAGAAATGAGGAGACGGAGTGAATAAGTGGTGGGTGGATCCTGTATAACTGCACCCTGACTGCCTGGTTAATTATGATCAAGGGAGCAGATACTGTAGGAGGGATTAATCTGCTCTAACTGCCATCAGCCTCGCCATTAATAATAGGGGCAAAAGAGAGAGGGAGTTTGATCATCTGAAATGTGGAAAGACTACATCATATATCAGTATCACCGAACACAGGCTGTGTGTTATCTGTGACTTATTTTTATGACTGTATATAAGTGTCGAATCATTACATTGTTCAAAGTAGAGCTGGGAATTGGACCTTAAAGCAGCACCAATTAATATTTTTATATTTACAATGGATCAAATGAAAACATGTAACATAAAAGACGAAGCTTCACTCCCACCAACATTTTCCCTTAGGGGTGTACTCACTTTTGTTGCCAGTGGTTTAGACACTAATGGCTGTGTAAAGTGTTATTTTGAGGGGACAGCAAATTTACACTGTTATACAAGCTGTACACTCACTACTTTACATTGTCCACCCTTCACATTACAAAAATGTGGACTCACTTTTGTAAGATATTGTATGGACTGTGCACTACCTGCCCAGCACCAAAAAGCAGACATATAAACTCAGTGACTGGCTGGTGAACATAGTGGAGCATTAACCAGCTATAGAGCCACATATTTTTCTCAGGAGTTGATGGAGACCAAAACATAGCTCAAAGGAGAGTGAATATTGGAACTAAATATGTCAGGTAGCCGGAAACACAACTGCAAATGAGTGCTAATATTGCTTTGTGTCTGTATGTGTAAACTCTTTGCCAACATAGCCGTATCAACTTTAAAATGTGTCAAACGCCAAAAACGTATTATTGCAGCTTCAAACGTTTTTTAGCACAGACAAAAAAATGTTTACGATCCAAAAAAAAAGTACCAAAACCCAGACCTAGTTAAAAGACACTCTACAGCTCTCCTCTGAACCTCTAAAGTCTGAGACTGTGGGCCTCCCCTCAGACATAGCCAAGATTATGTTATCTGATCCCATAGACACTCAACAATTGACAACTTCAAGACACCAAATACATTAAAAAGTCCTAAGACGTTTTAGTTTCTGACTCTAAGAAAGTGGGTTTAATAGTAAAATTCTCCCAAACTATTGTATCTCTGAACTCTTTTTCTTTAAACAAATCACACACATTTAAGCTATTCTATGTGATCTCCTTTTGATAACTTATGTAGAAACTAATGTGATATTTTCTGACTTCTTTCACCGAGTCTCCCGTGAAACAGTTTAGAGCCGCCCTGGGGTGGCCTACCTCCCACTTTCAAAATCTCTGCATTAAACATTTGATTGGAAGAAGTGAAATATGGTGGTCAAACTCAAAACAAGGCTGTTCTTAGTTCTTCACAAGCTTTGGATAGACATGAGTTTCACCTGGAAGTGCTATCCATTCATTCCAATATCAAAGTCGAAAAATATGACAACAACTTATAAGAGAGAGACAATTAATGATGATTAATGTATTATTATTATCTGATCCGGTTAGCAAAGTATTCATTTCATAATGACTTTGATTCCGACTTGGGGGAAGTTTGTTGCATGACAGTCAAATGAAGGCAAAAACATCATGGTTCACCCTCACAGGTGTTTTCATTTAATTTGCCTGATTAGGCTGCTGTCAATCCAGCTCTTCTAAGCTCTCTATCAGATTCTCCTGTTCGTTTGATGACTGGGGTCATTTAAGTTTGTTAAATTCAAATAATGTGTTCTGTGCATGAATGCATAGATTATGTGATGTAAAAAAGGAAGCAGTATGACAAATATATGGATCATCATTGGAAACTTTGCTCACTCAACAAAATGCGGCGGGTGTGGGTCATGTTGTCAAGGAACAGGAATAGCAATGATCAGACAGCTTTACCTGTGGCTCTGTACTGCTCTTCCTAACCAGACTGTTGTGTGAATGCTCCACATGATGCAAGGGACTACCACCTGAGTGAAATCCATTCACTGGAGAGAAATGAAAGGAGGAGGGAGAGATCAAGACAGACAGGGAGAAATAAATTTCATTAGAACTTTGGTGTCTGCAGATGTGTGCTCTGAACGAGTGTTGGTCCAGGGAGAATTCACTTATCTTTAGTCAAACCAAGCCAGTGCTGAGTGTTTGTAGCTCCATAAATGTCGTTAATGGGGCAAGAACAGATAGGCAAAAAGATTGGGTTGTGCTAGTTTACGTAAATCCATCACTAAGTTTGAGTGTGTAGTCTAATTTCTTAGTGGCTGCTAGCTAGTGACTTGCAAAATTGGGTTGCACCATTTAAACTTAATGAATGTCGTAGCTAGTAAACACCATAGTAATCTGTGTAAATTACTATACTATGTAAACACGAAGTTGCGGTAGTATCAAAAACTGCAGTGCTTTGTAAAGTATGTGTTTCAGAGTTAGTAATATTCACGCAGTTTAGAATGAAATGGGACATGTCCAATTATGCTAACCTTCATTGTGCAACCCTATATCGTAAAAATGACAAATAAATCAATCCTGAATCCTTATTTGGCCTAATGCTAATGTTATTAGCTTAAAGTTTGGTAATTTGAAGAATAATGTATTATTTATACAAGGTGATTTTAAATATTCCCAATTTAGATCATTATTACATACATATTACATCATTTTGATCAAGTGCTGGTTAAATATGTCGACCATATTCCATTTTACCTCCTTTACTCTTTCAACTAAACAATCATATATTTGCTAACTACTTTGGTTTGTTAGTTCATTTATTGAACAGTTACATATGAGTAACAACTCATCTCTACATAACAACTGTGTTTTTTGATTTAATCCATAAATCAATAATTATTTATTTATTTAAAAAAATGTCATTTAATTCAGTAAATCTACACTTCGTAAACAGATACTTTTTAATAAGCAAGTTGGAAATTGTGATCAGCTGGTTCAATGAGATCCTCAGCTTAAAAGAAAAGTATCAAGAACATTGTTCACAAAGCCAACATAAGCAAGCATTTTCCTATGCATTTACCATGACTTTAAAATGATCTAAGTATGTGTGAGAGATATTTATGTTTGGTTTGAGGTGAAACTAAGAAGTTGTTTATGATAGAAGTTCTCCAAATGAACGAAGCATTTGAGCTGAAGACATCTCACAAACCTTAGTGGTTCTCACTGTTTATCTGCCTTTAGGGGCAGGGCCAAAAGAAAGACAGTGGAGGCCTTAGTTCTGCAGTTGAGGCTACAGATAAAATTAGTCACAGGAAGTGTCTGTGTGTATGTGTTCGGTGTGCATGAGTGGGTGCTTTGTGCAAACTGTGGAAATTTAAGAGAATTCATAGCCCCAGGGTACTAAAACCTGAGGAAGTGATAAAGAGTTCAGATGGAGAGAGATAGATTTGTAGTACCTGCTGGCAGGGAGTTCTTGTGTCGAAGGGAGGTCTTGGGGGTCCCAGGTACACTGGACGGTCTCTCCCATGTCGTCTCTGAGTGTTCAGCAGAGGGAAAGAAAGACAGTGACATTAGGAGAGCAGTATCAGCTATAATTTGTTTTTGTCATTTTGTTAACAGTGTTGGAATTATTTGTGGGTAACAGAAGAAGTGATTCCATCCATGGGTGCATTGTTGGCACTTGTTGCAGTCAGCGGTTCCACTAAGGAAAAAAAGGACAGGTCTTACAATTTATACCCTAACCAATCAGCATCTGCACACATCTTCTGTTGACACAGATATGTTAGAGGTTTCTATGAGCAGTTAACTTTTGTCATGAAAATCAGAAAAAATATGTCAAAGTAAGAGTTGTTATTTTTGTAAGTCAACGTACAACAAGGTGGTCAAATGTCATCTACCCCGTCCCCATTTTTGTGCCTATTTTTCAGCTGATATTTTCCTGTGTAGCTAGATAGCTGGCTAACATTGTAGGAAGATCATTCAATCAATGTGTTAAGTATCAAATATTGATATTTGTGTTTTTAGATTAATGCAAATAATTAATTATACCTCCACAAACCTCAGCATGTGACTGCAAAATGTAGAAATTATTGTGAAAGTGGCCGCCATCATGGCTAAAAGTTAGCTTAAAAAGTTAGCTTAAATAGTCTCTGACAGGGCCAAGTCCCAATGTTATGTTTTACCACAAGAACTCAGTCTTTAGGCTATAGTGTTGCTTGTTAGCAATTTTGAGAACTGTATTTTCACAAATAAGACATTAAAGTGACAGTGAAATGTTAGTTAGAGTGTCTTCAGCTTCTGTTTTGTAGATCTGATTGGATCACTCAAAAGCAAGAGGCAGATGGAGTTGCTGTGGACTGTTCTCCACTCACATTTCCCTCATCTGTGTTCTTAGATCGGGAGGAGGAGGGTAAATCAAGGGTGAAATCAATAAATTAGCCAGTTAAATTTACCAGTTAATATCCAAGCAAACTATTTTTTTTACTATATTGCTCTGCTAGCTAGTAACAAACTAATGGTCAAGTCACCCCACATCACAGTATGTAGCCTAATACTAAGAATAATAATAAGCAGTTATTAGTAAGTGTGTTAACGTAACAAATATTGTGTGTTAACATGACTGACTGCCACGAGAGTGACCTGAAGTTGTTTTCACATGTTTGCTGCACAGAGTCTGTGGCTTTTTGGGTCCAGTGTGCCCAAATTTGGATTTTGTGGCTCCGGTATCTACCAAAAACTACTTTATATAAAATTACTTTGATCACATCATGAGCAGAATTAGAAAACAATCCCATGGTGGAAAGCCTTAAATTCTGAAATACTAGTCATGGGTGGAAGAGTAGGTTAGTGGTTACAGAGAATGTACTGTCAACAGCCACGTGCAACATTCACTTTGGTCATTTTAAATGACTGTAGATAAAATCATGTTGTTTCAATCATCTGTTGTCTTTTACAATAATGCCAACTGAAAACAAGCACAAGCTTTTGGCCAAATACAAGGGAACATTTCATTTGAAAGGTTTAGGAAGGTTAACTTAGCTTCATAGAAGCACTGATTCTTTTCCATCATCTGTCCCCATTTGACTTCTACTGGTAAAGATGCTGGAAAATGAGGTTATAAAGCATGACCGACAGAGACACTAATACACCCCCTTTGATTTTTGCTCCCATATGTCCACTCTCACCACAGCCCTGAGCTCAATTAGCCCTTTACTGTCAGCATAGAAAGAAAAGGCACGGACATGTAAAGAGCTCTTATTTCATTTGGGTCTTTTTGGCTGGCTCTGCTCTATTTGGCGCCGCTTACCAGAGGAGACAACTTAGCCAAGCCCATCAGCTCAAATGACACGCATGGAGGGGATAACTGGCAGCAGGCTTATGGAGAGAGGCTGTGCCTTCATGTTTGATGCACAACACCAGCTCACAGCCTTTGTCATTTGCCCAGATGCCTCAATTTCTCTCTGTTAGCTTGTCATAAACAAATCGATACTGTGAGAAATATAGGATATTAGTGTAGAAAAATATAGCATAATATACTTTGCTCAGGGAAATGTTATTGTGACTGTCTACCTTTATCAAAGGGATTGCAGTCAAAGTCCAGTTTGCCAGATTCATAGCCAGGAATAGATATGTATATATTGTTTGTTTTTTTACAAATGGCTGCTGGAAAATCCCACATATTTACTATAATGTTATAGTGATGACACCGGAGTGGAACAAGTTGAGTTTCTAGGCAACTGGCAGATGCAGATTGCTTATAATTTCTATCAAACAGGTGAGATATCAGACTTGGCACCTGCCAGATTCATACCCCAAGATACATTATACAGCAGAAGTAATTCTCATCAGCTGCCTTGTCATAGACAAGCTGAAGTCTAAAAAAGTTGTCAATCATTCTAAATTGCCTTGATTGTGGAATACAAACCCGAGGCAGCTCCGTTTACCCACTTTCCCATTTGAGGAATAGTTCATCCGCCCTTTTCATGCCTGTCATGGATCTCAGTGATGTGAATTCATGATATCAATGATATTACATGTAGAGTGTAATGACTCAAGCTGCATGAGCATAGGGTCTTCTATGAAACATAAAAATATCAATTTATGCTTTTCTGATTCACCAAGTCAATCACAACCACATATTCATTTCACATACATCACTGGTTCAGAGTGTAGCAGCAACTCAGCGGCTGGCAGCGGAAGACAGAACTTGCAGTGTAGCGGATGTGTATAAGTGAATGTATGAATGAAAAATTGTCAACAGCAGTTCAAAAAGCAAAAACACCCCGGCTTCAGCCAACCAAACTACATGAGATGCGAGACATCCCTGATTCTAAACGGGGAGAAGGAGAAATGGCCTAGTTAGCTATGACACTGCTATATTTTATTCATAACCACATGACACTGGTCCTTGATGCATTAGCTACCTCCTGTCTCTGGTTTTTATCAATCACAGCCCATTCACACCCTGTATTATACCAAAGAGGAAACACCCGTGACAGACAGTGCTTAAGGGATCTCCTCAGCAATAAAACAAACAGAAAAAGCAGAAGATGTAGCTATTGTGGGAAAAAAGCTAGCATTGCATAAGTCTCTGAGTGGGCATACTAGTATGAGTTTGACAGTGGCATAGAGATGCAATGTAAGCAAACCTCTACTGGACACTACCTTACAAGCCAAAGACAGTGGTATTTAAGAATAAGAACCACTATTTTCACAAACTGAACAATGACATTTACAGGAAAGAGACCTACAATGAAACCAGAACGTCTGGGTTCTGTTCCAGAGGAAAGTGCCAGGACAAATTAGGCATTTTTATTTAAACAGCAGATACTAAAACCTTTAAAATATGACATTAGAAGAAAGTGTGGGTCAATATCTTGAAAAAAGAAACTGATGCAATGATGTTAAGTATGCACATTGCCCCACTGTAAACAGGAAGCTGTTTTTTGGGATGCAAACAAATGACTGGTTGTGTAATTTTGTTAAAATCAAATATGGAAAGTGAACCCCTGCAACATTTTACACTTTTTTATAAACCGATTTACAGAAACAGAAGCTAGTGGAAGAACGGCTAGCCTGAAAGTGGCGTCGGGACTCTCTATGTTCTCCAGCTCACTAGCTAATGTATTTAGCCTGTAAACAAACGTTAGTCCTGTACTTTTCCCCTAGTGAAAGATTGGGACATGTGTTTATGCTTATACTGTGGATAAGAAGAATACATTAGTTTATCTTTGATTCACTTTAAATGGCCACGTGGCCAAAAAGAGCCGTAGACATGAACCACATCTCCAGTAGCTTTCTAAACTAGCACTCAATTAGCTAGAAAGCTAATGTGGTTTTGGTTCAAAGTCTGTGGCTCTTTGTGATTAGTGGGGCAGGCTGCTCTTTGGCTCTGGTAGGAAGGACACGTAAATGCTATATGCAAATCTAGGTTAAAATTAAATTAATCAAGTCGCTGTACAGAATTTAAATAACTCATTAAACCTGAAGATTTTAAATAGAAATGTCTCTCTCTTTCGAATATTTTGGGTTGTTTTTTTTCCTCAAAGAAGAGCACAGGATATGTAATTTACAGGGCAGATCTATCTCAGCAGGTACAAATAATGCAATTTCATTTCAGATGGATTTCTTGAAGCCAATTGAGAGGTTTTTAGTTTAGTGTAAATCAGACTTCATTGCAAAATAACTGAAAACTGAGGGGACTGTCTGTCTGCTGTAAATCCTAAGAGTATGTGTGTTGGGACTGTTAAGTTTTTGGGTTGGTGTGTTTTTAAAGCAGCACACTGGCTAGGCCGGGATGAGTGGAGAGTCTTAGGAGACGGCTGGTACAGACCGCAGCACCCTGCACCGCTGCACCCAGCAACACAGGAAGGAAAACCTAGAAAAAAAAACCAAGCTCTGACACAAGGACATGCTGCCCCCACCCACGCACACTGCAATGTTACCATGGCGATGCTGAAACAAACATACATATAAACACACACACACACACACACACGTGTGCAGGACAGTATCTAATCTAGCTGAACTTTAATGTAACAAAGGGGAGGTCCAGCAAAAATAGCTGAGCTGCTATAAATACTGATTGTTTCAGGAAAAATGTTATCAGATGTGTTTGTTTGGAAACAGTTCCTGCGGTGGTGAATTTGAAAGAACTGCAGGCCCGTAGTACATTGAATATGTGTTAGGACTGAGCTTCATTTAGTCATTGTGCAGCAAAGACACAGAAAATAAGTCCTGGAGGTTTTCTGTGCCCTCAGAGACCGGTTTCTCACAACCACAGCAACAATATTGCTTTCTTTATGAGCCAGGGTACAGACGCTGCTGGTGTGGGTTTTTTCCACGCAAAAAGTTATGAAAAATTAATTTCTCTCTTAGGAAATATTGTGGAACTCTTTTGTTCCAGCACGCCACTCTTGTCATTTCTGACTCTGTCCCCCTGGAATATGATGTGTGTTACAACTAAAGATAAGTCTCCAAACCCTGTCACATGAAGACAAAACAGATCTGTCGAATTCCCACAGGAATAACATGAAGACCGAGGGGGAAGAGTCAAACGTTTTGAGGTTATCTTAATGGTTAAAGCATCTAATAAGGCCCGAAGAGTCTTGTTTGTTTCCAACGTTTTGACATTAGCACATTTACCACTTAATTTTATTTAAAGAGAAAAGGAGAAGAGGAAAAGGAGGAGCGACTCCCCTGGTCTCGTGGCTGGGTGGAGCCCTCGGCTAATTCTAGATCCCCTCTCACGGCCACAATTTGACCACTGCAACCATGAGCAGAGATGTACATGATGTGAACAGCCCTGATGCAAAGCTGGTTACACTCTTTAAGTGGCTGCTAAGCCACAACTCGAACTGTGAACTGTGATTGGGCCTCATGCGAGAACCACTCGTTCCAACTGATGGGTTTCGTTAACAGAGTGTAGGTAATCTAGGTGCTTTCCAAGCTGTAGTGCAGCTTCTTTTGGTCTAATCCGGTTCGCGTTCATACTGACTTATTACAAACAAACCAAGAGCTGTATGGCTGAAGTCATATTGACTGAAAGGTAACCGATTCAGTCATTAGACAGATTTGGGGATGATGGCATCATCAGCTCTATATGGACTCAAGTCGGGAAAGAAAATTCGGGCATGTTGTCACGAAGAGCTCAAAGAATCGAATCATTAGCCGAGACTGTAACTAGACCTCATACTGTATATAAATAGTAACAAACAGATATAGAGAGGCATTTTGTACTGTAATACTGTGGAAGGATAGAAACTGCAAGGTTGCTACGTTTCACTCACTTTCTAATGTGAGGGAAAATCCCCGCTCTCGAGTGCTGACACGTATGTACGTTACCATGGTTACTAAATTATTTTTGCATAAATATAGGTAATACATCTTTACAGAGATCACTTTCTGAAGAAGTCATGATCAGCAGATGGATGCGTTTATCTTTTGACTTCACGCTAAGATAACACATCTACTATCACAAAATCTTGTGATTGGTCTTGACACCACAAATGAGCTGCACCACACTTCCAACAGGAAGCAAACTCAATCCCTCTTGTCCCTCAGTCCCGTTGTTAAGTGCGCGCCAGTTTAATAGGCCGCTTGCCATGGACTTTAATAGAGTTCATGGAATTTTCTGTTAACAGCATGGCAGAAAGTAGCTAGCTCTACTTTCAGCTAACAAACCCACAATGTGTCTTGTTTTATAGATGCAAAATTGACAACTGTGCGACTCCACAGCTGTCAGTGATGACGCAAATTGATGATAATGTCTGAAATCTCTAATTACCACTTACTACAGAGTGAACTACTCAGTCTGCGTTAGACTGGGGGTAGGGAATGAGGGAACGGAGAGCTGGAGAGTCCACAATGGAGGAAGCTTATTAGTTGTGGCCCCATCCAGTTTTCTTCAACAGTGGTGCTCCACAGAAGGGGCATGGTTTGCAGACAGTTATAAGAGTTGATGATACAATACATTTTTTTAATAAACTTTGTGAGCGGCCTGAGCTAACATGTTTGCTAACCGCCCACGCTCGTTAGCTCAGGCAGCTTTTTTCCCCCTTCTTCAATAAAACTCTTATTAAATAAACCTGAGAACAAAATGCCAGGAGCAAATAAACAGCACAACACAAGTAGAAAGAAGCTGACTGGCACCAGTATGTCCCGGCTGGGTTAGTGTGTTGGCCCTTCGCACACCATCTAGCCCTTCAAGTAGTCGCAACTTCACCAAGTATTTAGAACCAAATATTTTGCAAAGACACGGATGAATTGACGTTCTGGTGTGACAAGGTCTTAAGAATACAAAAATGTTCTTACATGAGACCCATAGTTACTCTGTCTGTGTGACTAGTAGGCACAGCGTCTGGACAAACCTGGACTTTCTAACCTTTATTACATCCTGAGGTCAAAGGCACATGAGAGTTCCCGAGACCAGATATTAGTATCATCAGTCAGGTTTTACGGTCAGGTCACCCAGGGATAGTAAAAGAGGCCATGTTGCTATGTCTGCGGTACAGAGGAGGGTATTAAGCTGTCTCCACACCAGTGTGTGTCTGTGTGGATGTGTGTGTTCAGGGAGACACTGAGTGGTGTTTGTGTTGACAGAAACAAGGCGCTATCAGCAGTATCAGTTCTTCTACGCCCTCTGTCTCTCACTGGTACCATCACTGCAGTAGAGACAGAGGCTGTACGTTTAACCCGATAACTGACAGATGAAATCGCTCAGGTGTCATTTTTAAGATGAATACAAGCTCCTTGATGGAACATTTTAATGAAAAACACTGCTTTATTTTCAGCCTAAAGTGTAGTTGGGAGCAAGGCAGGTAATCTTTTTCTGCAAAGAGACAGATTAAACCTGGTAAATGAATGTTTTTAAGCACATCTTTTAAAGAGAAGACAAATATAAGACCAAGTACAAATCAACAGTATGGTGTCACCTCTGAGGAGGAGTCATCCTCCAGAAACAAGTTTGAACTTTTTGTTGAAAAGATTTCGGTCACTCTGATAAAAAGGAATCACAGAGCAGCCCCAGCAAATCACAGTACTGTCATTTGTAACTGGCAAGTAAAAAATGCCCAATGAGCACTACAAACTGCACTGTATGCAAAGACATGACCGGTTCAACAGTATGTGGACCTGCATTAAAGAATGTGCTGATCTACATGATGTAGACAATATGGATTCATCATGCTATATAATTTAATTCCACTGCCAGGCTGCGCTCACAGAAGGTAAAAAAATCCAAACTTGACAGCAACATTTACAAAATGTAGGAGCAAAAGAGCCACACAGGAGCTGCACAGGATTTAAAGCAGCACTGATGCTACGAAACATCTTTAGAGGAGCTGGGTTTAGAAAACATATATAAGCATAATTCACATTTATTACAACTTTTCCTATTTCTGTAGTTTGGGCAATCATCTATTAGTCTTTATCAGTTTTCTCATTAGTTCTATCACTTTATAAAAGCGAGCACACAGAACATTTCTGTGGTAATCGTCACTGCACAGGAAACCTGTGTGCACACGACTACAGTAAATATGGTAGGTAAGCATGTCAAAACAGTGAAGGATGTTAACAACAAAGAGTTGACAGACAAAGGGTGATAATTTCTACCACTCACATTTGTCTCATCTTCTAAATTAGTCTTACTTTAATAAATGTGTTTGGCTTTGTTTGTCTGATCATCTGACTTCTCTTGTTTCTTGCACAGTCAAGACTTATTTTTAGTGATGACGCCAAAAATGCCATATCTTAGCCATTAACTGGATGACTAACGTGAGTACAGTGCTATTATTACAGATGGGAGTGCTGGCTAAAGTCACACAAATAGGACCCACATTGTAATAAACTGAAATGATCATTTAAGCCATGTTGATGACATCGCCTGTTCCTAAATATTTTACAGCCACATAAACAAATCCTTTTATTCCCTCCGACATTGTGGTAGATCAGAGATTTTCAAACTATGAGACGCACCTCCACAAAAGGAGCAAATAAATGTCCATTAATCCACACAGAAATCATAGAAAAAAAGACGCTCCTTATATCAGAACAACACAGAACAGAGCTGAGCAACTGAAATTTTATGAAAATCACAATTTTTCCTACTGCAATTTTCAAAATACCATTTTAAATTAAACATTGTCGTGTCACGTCATTTTAATATGTTTGTCAATGAAAATGAGAATAATGATGTAAAAATCATCAGTCCCCCTAGTATCGCAAATCATATCTCAATTTCAAAATCTGTCAAAATAATTGTAATTTGATATTTTTTCAAAATCAATCTGCCCTACTACAGAACCTTCCTTCTGAATGTGGGCAAAAGCTGAAAACGATGCAAGTGTGGAAGTATGCTGCCACTTGTATGACATACACTGTTCAGCATTATGGGAAATTCGCTTATTCGCTTTCTTTGTGAGAGCAAGATGACACGAAGGATATCAGTCTCATGTCTGAGTTAAGTATGGAAGTGAAGTCCGGAAACAATTTGCCTAGCTTAGCATACAGGCTGGAAGCAGGGGAAACAGTTAGCCACTAATTAACACGTATACTTTTTACATAACTGGTACAGAAATGTAAAAACGACTGATTATGGTTTTAGGGAGAGTTTAGTTATGTTGTCAAACTACTTCTTAGTGAGTAGCAACTGAAAATGGCGCCGAGTAGCTTCCTGTAGTGTTGTCACCACAGTGAGGCTGCCCGGTTTGATACCATGCCGTGCCTGTGCTGAAACCAAAACAAACCTGTGCTCATTGATCCGGCAACCAGGACTACAGCCAGAGGTGCTGCACATATGTACTGGGCGGATGTATAAACTGTTATCTATCAAAAATAGTTCCAACCTGTAACCCCACCTAAATTTACTGACTCTTACCATTGCTTGTGGTGTTGACGTAGTATCGCCGCCCTTGTGGAGACATGTAGCATTTCCAGAGAGGTGGCAGGGGTTCTCTGAGGTCCTCAACAGAGAGATGACTCAGAGATGCGGTGCTCTGTCAAAACAGAAAAAGCAACAACAACATCGGTTCGTGTCAATAACCATTAAAAGGCTCATCAGAACAATGGAGGTGCATTTAAACACAATGTTAGAGCCAAGTCTAAGATGTATTTCTCAGGGGTATGTCTGAATTGAAATAACTGCTGGAGATAAAGAGATAACAAGATCAAACTACACCACTGAAGATAAGGCTACACAAGAGATGGAGAAGAAATAAGCAGCACTCAGCTCGGGTTCAATAAGGTTCTCATTTCCTCAAGCATTTCACAACCAGCAACCAATGACATCATAGCGGAGCAGGCTGAGCTGCTGCTTCTGCTGCTGCCACACAAAGAACAACAAACTGTCTCTGCTCTGCACTGCTCTGGACTAAGACAGCGTATGTGCACACAAAACACAGCCGAAGAACACGAGAGAACATGTATGCAAACTGTGCACATCTGCTGCTGATTAGCAGGAAAACAACAGGCTGAGGCCATTGTAACACATTCAGATGCTGTTTGGAGACTTGGGAGAGCTACAGTTTTGTTACTGGGGTCCACGCCAAGTCACTCACGCATCTAGAAGAGGAGGAACTCGATCCAATCTCTGCAGGCTGGATATGAATTCAATAGAATACAGTAGGAGAAGGAGGAGACTTCTCTGCAATCGCAGACATAGATGACCGCTCGCTAAGCTCCATCTCTGAACAGCAATTGTCCAATCGTAGCTTCACAACCATAACTTAGCACGAAAGCCCTGCAATGCTTAAGTGGTGTGCATGGGGCTGGTAAGAGACGTACTCTGGATTTAAAGAGTTGGCCTGGATGCAGGGGGACAGATGTGACCCACGACCATTCATCATAGTTTATAATAATGCAGTGCAATAAATGCAATGCAATGCAATAATGCAGCGGTGAGGATACGTTTCATAGAGGCGACGAGGGTATATAACGCGGCTCTACCCGTCTGTCTGTCACTGTTAATAAAGAACCCAGCCTGCAGTGTAGTTCATACTCTTCACACATAAACCACAAAACTGTAGAGTTAGTTTGCTTTTATATCACGTCAACACATATTTGCACGCTCCCTCGTTCACACTCGTCCACAGCTCTCTCTCTCTCAGCTGCAAGTCTGCATCACACTTTTTTATCAACTGATTTTTTTTATTTTTTTTTTTATAATGCCTGGTTTTAGGGGGTGCATTGTGGCCCTGTGTCAATGTTAGCATGTCCGGCTAATTGGTTTACTAAGATTACATCCAAGGAATGAGAGCGTTTCATGCTACAGTATTTTGGGGGTTTAGAAATACATTATAAAAGCCTTGTTCTCCCCCAGCAACATTCACTGTGTGAAGTATGAAGTGTGTAAGTATATAATGTGTATGTAGTGTGAAGCACAGTTTAAGTCACTGTGAGAAGCTTGTCTTGGATGCTATTAGAGTGTAGGTTAACGTTAGCCGCTGTGTCCTTCTCTTTATTAGATGTGGGGAAGTTTACACTCCAGCAACCCCAGCCAGGCTTGTGTTTTAGCATTACAGTCTCTATACACCAGAGATGCTCAAAAGTCTTTGAGCTAGAGTCCAAGTCAAGTCTCAAGTCTCTGAGCAAGAGTCCAAGTCAAGTCTCAAGTCTCTGAGCTAGAGTCCAAGTCAAGTCTCAAGTCTCTGAGCAAGAGTCCAAGTCAAGTCTCAAGTCTCTGAGCTAGAGTCCAAGTCAAGTCTGAAGTCTCTGAGCAAGAGTCCAAGTCAAATCTCAAGTCTCTGAGCAAGAGTCCAAGTCAAGTCTCAAGTCTCTGAGCTAGAGTCCAAGTCAAGTCTCAAGTCTCTGAGCTAGAGTCCAAGTCTCAAGTCTCTGAGCTAGAGTCCAAGTCAAGTCTCAAGTCTCTGAGCTAGAGTCCAAGTCAAGTCTCAAGTCTCTGAGCTAGAGTCCAAGTCAAATCTCAAGTCTCTGAGCTAGAGTCCAAGTCAAGTCTCAAGTCTCTGAGCTAGAGTCCAAGTCTCAAGTCTCAAGTCTCTGAGCTAGAGTCCAAGTCAAGTCTCAAGTCTCTGAGCTAGAGTCCAAGTCTCAAGTCTCTGAGCAGTGTAATGTTAACTGAGTAAAACTGTAACGTTACATAATCAACAATAAACCTGCAATCTGTTTGGCAAGTCAGCTCATGGAGCTACAGTAAATGTAGCTTAATTAGCTTGCTAACAATATAATTTTGCCTACATCTGTTAAAAATAAAGGACCTATTGTTTAAAAAATTACAAAACAAATTCTATGGTAAATCTTCCCCTGTAATTATTGTAAACTTCATAAATGCCCTGCGAGAACAGAAAGCATGAGAGGCAAAGCATTTAAATGGTACAACCCAGAGCAAGCTATATGAAACTTGTAATCTGTGAAACTGACAGGCCTGAATTCTCTTCTCTGCCTCTGACAAGTATTGGGAGGCCACTGTGGAGACGTGTTCGGATCAGAGTGGGTGATAGGAAATGGGAATGCTATTCGTTATCATCAGACACTGCCACATACCAGGGTCAGGCCAGAGAATATCAGCTCAAAGCAAACATTACTTCATAGATATTTACTATCTCATCACCTATGTCTTAGGGATAATCAAGCAGTAGTGAGTATTGATTTAAGCATAAACTGTCCCTGGAGAATAAAGTTAATTCTCTGCCCTCGGTGGAAGAAGAGGAAGGAAGAAACCCAGAGCTCTCCAGCATGAATCCATGTCAACCCGGGTGACTTATGACTGCATGTAATTACACACTCTCTGACAACACTGCAGTGATGTTTTCCCCTTGATGGTCTCCGTGGTCACTGTTATATTTGTCCTTCGTGTGCCTTTGAGAAACAGGTTTTCTTAAATAGTCCAGTAATTTGCGACAGCAGTGAAAAGTAGTCATGGATGTAACAATGGACTAACACCAAAACGCCATTAAAGAAACTATGAGACATTTCCAATCATGTCGGTGACACACAATGTTTATGTACTGAAAAAGAATTGGAAGGAGAAAAAAAGCTGAAACCAAACCACATATACAGTTACGGTGGAGTTCAGTGCTGAATGTGTGGAGAGGCAAGGTGCCCTTCACTTGTTCCTCACATGTAGCTCCTAAGTCAAACATCATGGGTTATTATACATTTGTTTTCACTGTTGTAGTGTAAGACTGGGTGAGAACAGCGCAGAGCAGGCAATGAGTAAAAGCAGGAGCGGATTGACTAGACCAGGTCCTGGATCCCTCCCACTCTAATGTGTTGTATACCAAGTTGCATTTACGTCCCAATCTGGTGAACTAGGTATTAATACCAGATTTAGTATTTAGTCTTAAATGTAATTGTGATTATGTGCAATTCATGAAATTACCACAAGTAGTTGCTACATAGTGAACCAGGGGCCTTCAGGTCTGGGGGCACAGATGGTAAAAGTGCCTGTTTCGTCAAATTTTGCTCCAGGACTGGGACCGTTATTCTGTGTGTCACGGTACTGGACGCCCAGCGGGTTACAGAGTTCATAACAGGAAGAAGAGTTTGTTATATCAACATTCTCCTGTCACAACTGAGTGACTGAAATGTCTGGGTTCCATCAGATTCAGATTCAGGATCTGTGCTACCATGTAATGGAGTAACAAAAGACTTTCGGGGGGGGGGTTCTACATTTTCTGGTTGCTTTCCTGTTGGCTTCCTTCAGACACGACGCTGTTTGGTCACATGTTTATTATCAGTGAAATGATACCCCAGTTGTTTTTCTCTGAGCTAAGCAGAAACGGCTCTCAGAATCAGGCAAAGACAGATGGGAGTGGGCAGCTTGTAGTCAGAGGTACACGGATAATATGTAAAAAATCTTGGACATGAAGACATTTTAGATTGTTGATGTGGTTCAGTTCCAGTGCTCTGATTAAACAACATCACAAAGTGCTTCTGAATCTAAGTTTCTGTCCCTCGAAACATCCACATACCTGCTTCAAACGGAGTCTCAAAGCAGTGTGTGTGAAGAGCGTTCTGAGCTTTAAAAGCCAGAGTTAAAATGCTCCTCCCTGACAGAAGTTTGTGACAGATCTGACCTGTCCTGTCATACACATAAAAAAACACCCAGACATGACTGAGATAATGGGAGCACCTTGGTGGTGGGAAGTATGACGAATCTCAGAGCCAGCTTGTCTCAGCATATGCAACATTAAATAATGCACCATTCCAGATGGTTAACCTTCGAAACCCCCGACTGCCTTTGGCTCCATATTCACAGCATGCCAGAAAAGCCTCTGGCGGAGAACACAAGGACTCATCCCAGGCTGCGATGAATGAGTTGCAACCACAACGATCACTGCTGCTGTCTGTGAGCTCTGCAGTCGCTCTCATCACGCTGCAGTTTGAAAGATGAACTTCATTGAACATGTTCTAGTCCTCACAGCAGGCATCTGAGAATCATGAAGGTAAAATAACAGAGCATAGGAGCAATTATTATTATTACCAGCAGATTGTGAGCTGGTGAAATGTGCTTTCACTAAAATGTCACCATCTGCCACTAAATATGATCAATATGTGGGAGACGTTTGTTCTTTAACGATGTCCAGTCTCATCTGCTTCAGTTAATGACTTCCTACATTTCCCAAAATAATTTTCTTTTGGCCTTTTCACCTTCATTAGAGAGTGGATATTAAAGCAGCAGACAAGAAATGTGGCAATAGAAAGAGGAGTGACATGCAACAAAAGTCTCCAAGTTGAATCCAACTTTGGATGTTGCAGTTGTAGCGTATGCATCTTACAGACACACTAACGTTCAACAACATGCCGCTCTAAAACTATTTTTGTAAAGAAAAAAACATCTATGATTGGAATTGCAAAAGATTTACAGATCAAATCACTCTGCATTTATTTGGGAAATGTGTTTTACAGACACGAGTCACACATTTGTGGATTTTGTGTGAAACAGCACGGCAGAAGAGTCTAATCCACAAGAATAGGTGGCTATCCACAAATATATTTCCATTGAAAATGGCTTAGTGATGACATAGGAGTTGGAAAT